ATAAAGACGAAGAAATATATGAAAAAAGATGGCAGATTTTGCTTTGGTGCTTTATTGCCCGAAATAATTGATTCAAGAATAAAGAGGAACCTGCCTTTGCGAGAGATTTTTTTTAAATAAATAAAATTTGTTTCTATTTTTTTATGTACTTTAATAATTTATTAGGAGTATATTTTTCATCACCAAGACTTGCATATTTTTATTATAAATATATTTTGAAAATGATCTCTCGGCAAATGAAAACATATACGAGCACTTTTTTCGAGTAAACAATGAAGGGAGAAGTTACTGGGCGTAGGGCATTTTTAAAACACCTCCTTTCTGGGATAAGTAGTAGATACACTTAGCTACTTATGCGTGTTAAACAAAAGCTGTATTTTATATATTTTTTATTATTATTATAAATATGTTTATTAGTTTTATTAATTAAGAAACCAAATATATATTAACAATAATATTACAATGAATTTTTAGTAATCATGTGTATTGAATTCAGGATCCTGAGTGGAGTAAAAATATTATAGTTCCCCAGTTTTAATTCGGTTTTATGATAGTACCTCATTGCGTAAAAGTTAATTTCCTTAACAATAGATTACTACGGCCGGTCCTGGCGGCTTGTTATAAAGCTGAGTTCCTTGCCATAAATTAGAAAAATTGGTCTAAAGAGTTTAGACAGTACTTCCCTCGCTGTCGGAAACTTGACGACTGCATGCCTATTGTGTTTTTTTTCTCATTACATTTTTGTAGTGGGAATTTAAAAAAAAATTGCGATGACGTCATCAACATTTTTGCAAGGACACGTATATCAGTTGGGATAGATGTAGTGTAATGCTAAGAATAAAATTATTATATTCTCAAATTTTCGGGAAAATTAATTGGGTCGTTTGAATATTGATTTGTAATAATCAATAAAATAACGAAACAATTTACTCACGTATACCTACGTATCAGAGGCAACTGAAAATCGTGTCTGTATAAACATTCTTAATTTAAGATGACAGGCGTAACAGCATACATGAGAGCCAAACAGAGAAACTGTAAACAAAACGACCGTCGGTTTTATTGCTTCGACTTCCGCTTATTATATAAAACATTGGGTTTTATTTTAATTCTTGACGGTGAAATTCACAATTGGTTGATTATAAACATGTCTATTTCACATTCGCGGAATCAAGTGAACGCATAAAACAAATGCAGGTCTGTAATGTTAAAGTCGATGTAAATAAGCGTGCTACCCTTATGTTTCAACCGAGTTTTTCCTTTAACAAATTTTTTGTCTACCAAATTGGGTTGGTTGGGGTGTAATACTAATAATAAGTGTTGCCTTTAATTTAATCAATAAAATAAATTCACTTCATTAATTTTTTTGAACCACCTCTTAAGAAAATCTAAAAAATATGAATGGAATGATAAATCACAAGTACAAACTCATCATATTTTTTGCATTTTAGATAGGATTTATTCAGCAAAATTTAAGGGTGACGTCATCAATTTTTTTAGGAGGGATGAACAAATACATTTTGAACAAAAGTTTACCATGCTTATAATAACTTTAAAATATTCCCAAGATTTCAAAGCATTCGGTTTTGTAATTCCTGATTAAATCGATAAAATAAATTCACGCTTTCATTAATTTTTTTGAGTCACCCTGCATATGCAAATCCAAAAATATGAATGGAATGATAAATCACAAGTACAGACTCATCATATTTTGTACATTTTAGATACGATTTATTCGGCAAACTTTTGAGCTGACGTCATCAGTTTTTTGTAGAAGATAACCAAATATATTTTGACTAAAAATTTATTATGCTCTTTATAACCTTAAAACATCTGCAAGATTTCAAAGCATTCGGTTTTGTAGTTCCTGATTAAATCAATAAAATAAATTTACGAATTCATTAATTTTTTTGAGTCACCCTGTATATGCCAATCGAAAAAATTTGAATGGAATGATATATCACAAGAAGAGACTCATCATATTTTATACAATTTAGGTAGGATTTATTCAGCAAAATTTTGAGGTGACGTCATCAATTTTTTAGAGGGGATAAGTAAATATATTGTGATTAAAACGGTCTTGGTTTAATAACAAAAAAATGTTGTTCGTCTATAAAACAAGCTCGTCTTAGACAAAGTATTCGTAAAAAAGTATGTCGTAAAAAAATTTACGTATGCTGGTTCCGACTGCGATTATGGTTTAAATATTTTTTAGAAAATCCTGTCATGGATGTAGAAACATTTGTGACAGCCAAAGGGGTTTTTCTGAGAAAATTATCTTTGAATTTACACCAAACTGAAATAGACACTAGGCAACAGGCACATTTGGGCAAAAGAAAGAGAAATTAGGGTTACGACTTCAAATTTTGGACGTATTTACAAACTTAGACCGACTACAGCAATAGCTAAAACTGTGGAGTCTCTGTTGTACAGTACATTTAGAGGTAACAGTCATACATACCATGGACAGCAAAGTGAGGAAAAAGCTGTCAAGTGTTTTGAAATAAATAAAAATATAAAAACTGAACTGTGTGGCTTGTTTATTTCAAAACAATTTCCTTTCTTGGCTGCTAGTCCAGACAGGGTTCTAGAGGATAGGAGTGCATTAGTCGAAATTAAATGCCCTTCAAAATCGCAAGATTTGTCTCCCGAAGAAGCGGTTAGAAAAAAAATAATCAAATTTTGTACATTGACAGACAGAGAATTGAAACTAAAAAAAAATCATGATTACTACTTTCAAGTCCAGGGACAAATGCTTGTTACGGGTATTTCACAAGTTTATTTTGTTGTATGGACATCCAATGGAATAAATATAGAAAAAAATTATAAAGACGAAGAAATATATGAAAAAAGATGGCAGATTTTGCTTTGGTGCTTTATTGCCCGAAATAATTGATTCAAGAAGAGAGAGGAACCTGCCTTTGCGAGAGATTTTTTTAAAACACCTAAATAAAATTTGTTTCTATTTTTTTATGTACTTTAATAATTTATTAGGAGTATATTTTTCATCACCAAGACTTGCATATTTTTATTATAAATATATTTTGAAAATGATCTCTCGGCAAATGAAAACATATACGAGCACTTTTTTCGAGTAAACAATGAAGGGAGAAGTTACTGGGCGTAGGGCTTTTTTAAAACACCTCCTTTCTGGGATAAGTAGTAGATACACTTTGCTACTTATACGTGTTAAACAAAAGCTGTATTTTATATATTTTTTATTATTATTATAAATATGTTTATTAGTTTTATTAATTAAGAAACCAAATATATATTAACAATAATATTACAATGAATTTTTAGTAATCATGTGTATTGAATTCAGGATCCTGAGTGGAGTAAAAATATTATAGTTCCCCAGTTTTAATTCGGTTTTATGATAGTACCTCATTGGGTAAAAGTTAAATTCCTTAACAATAGATTACTACGGCCGGTCCTGGCGGCTTGTTATAAAACTGAGTTCCTTGCCATAAATTAGAAAAATCAGCCGAGAACTCTAACAATCAGCTTATGGTAGACCAGGCGATAAGCGTTTTACCTGAAAAGTCGCTTCCGTAAATTTTAGTGGCGCTCCTATCGGCAAAGTACTGAACTAACTGCTCAAATTCTGTCGAATTGATACCCATTATTTTCAATAACTGTTAGTTTTGGTTAAAAACTCTGCTAAACAATAGATCATTAATTTTCCTCTGATATTCCTGTTAAAACTATTCGACGTATTTTGCATTAATTTGTGGTATATTTTGATTTTAATAAACACATTATTATTTAAACAAATTGTACCACTAACAAACATTTAATGATTCTGCGCCCTGTAAAAAGTGATGTTTTATCCATGTGCGAATTTTCAAGCGATTTTATGATGGTTATGACTCAAAAAACTTGAAAAGAAAAATAAAATGGTGCTTTTTTACGATATTTCTCAGCCATATTTTTTTAGTTGATTGAACTTGTCTCTGCGCCCTAGAATATGCAAAAAGCTGCAGTTTGATGTATGACACATCTATATTAATATCATTTTTTCATACAAAAAACCAAAAAAATGTTATACCTCGTCTAGCGAGGAATCTTGACAAAATTTAAAGGGCATTGTGCTAAGTTATGCAACACAATATACACATATGAAGTGAAATGAAGGCGGTGTGTGCGCACAATCTTATTATTATTATGATTATTATTACATTATTTTATTCGTTAAATCGATTGTGAGGAAATTCTTCATCTGAATCGTCGCCAATTTCCATAGATAGAGGAAAAAGCGCTACCCAAGATGTGCAGATTTGGGGTCATAAATAAATATAATAAAAACATTGCTGACATTTAATCAATACCTACTTTCAAAGAAGAGCACAACCCTGCCTAGATAATCTTGATTTTCACTGGTTATCACTAAATTAAGTACGAAAAAGGGGGCTTCTTGTATTTCGATGCAACTTCAGCCATAATTTTTTATACTTTTGACAGTTCAAATTTCAAAGGCGACTAGATTTTCGAAATTTGAATTTTTTCTGCACAATCCCCATTTTATCAGGCGCTTATTTAATTAGTATTTACACATCTAGCGAAGTCCTAAATAATAATTAAAGTGGAATTAAGCGGTCAATTCGTGTCGTGAATCTTTGAAACCCGAAGCGACCGCATTAGTCACAGCGATAATTAATTCAATCAACGACACACCTCGACTTAATTACGCGCCGAGGATCGATTTCAATCCAAAATTCGGCGAATTTCCCCCTTGTGTCGTTCGGGGCGAGGGTTTAATTCAAAATTAACGCCTAATTGGGGCAATGCACCTGTTGTCATGTTGGCATTTCACCCCAATTGTCAACAAAAACACTGAATAGGCGTGGCCTTGGCAACCAGAACAACAATCCAGCGACCGTTATCTTATCAGGTGGAGTGCGCGAAAACGCGCTCCCACAACAATGCAATCATTTGAAAACACGAACGAACGCGTTTTACAAAAATCATTCACTTAGAAATCAAAAAAAATCACTCACCTCTTCCTTCATCTCGCTCTTCAAAGCCATCAGAACAACCTGGACGGACAGTGTGGCAAACGCAACGACACTAAATCAGGTGTTTCTTGGAATGGTAACGCGATTGTTGTGTTGATGGAGAGCGCCGGGGGCGGATTATATTTCGCGATGCATTCTTTACGTGGCAGGTGAGTGCTTGGTGGAAGATTAGCACGATTGTTTACTTTTGGGGGGACTTAACCTCAATCGGGGAGCCGGGTGAGGGTTGGTAGCACTGGCGACGCCAGAAGCGCGCGTTTCAAACAACGCAAAAATATGTTTAGAATTTTTGTTATTATTAGTATGACTGCATCGTTTTGGGTGTGGTAAATGAAACAGGTGGTGTTGAAATTAGGTTTTAATAGGTCATACTGAAATGTACAGCTGGGATGGTTATTGAAAACAAAACCAATGGCAAAGCACTTCTTTGACGTGGTTGCAGCGCTAGTCCTAAGGTACAGTATATACAGGCTACGAAGGTTGTTTAAAAAAAGATATAGCACATACAGTTAATATATTATTTGGCATATAAAATATCATTTCTTTAAGCTAGATCTTGAAATTTCTATGTAAAAAATCTGCAGTTATATCATCTACTCAAATATGTTGCATGTTACAAGTCTTCAAAATATTCTATATCAGTTGGATTTAACCGAATCATCAACGCAGTCATACAAAACGTTTCAATAAAAAAAAAAAGATCAAATCTAATAACGTCTGGTCTTAGTCTAGAAAACATCAAAATTGAAATATGTACAGCCGAATGATAAAACTGTCCCACACAATCGCAAAAACTTAAAAGACAACAACAATACCAGATGTCTATGACTAGGGAGATAAACTTAATGTGCAAGGTTGACGTAAATAAACTCACATTTGACGAACTACAGTAATCATCACAACACGCGAATTAAATGCAGAGTACCTCACGCGAAACTCTATCTTTTCAACTCTTCCCATAAATCGAACGTTCAATAAATATATGTAAATGAAGAATAGTAACAAAAACAACATTACACTTATATACAAATAAGACCTCTCTCCAAAGTGTAAACTCATCAAGCCCATAAACACGCATAATAACTCTACTTCAAAGAACAACGTTAAACTTAAAGCTGCAAATGTAAATTTGTTGTTTTTGTTTGTAAAATTCCCTCGCAAATGGCACTTAAATAAACTCCAGTGCGCCTAACCGATAAAAATGAACAACAGTAACATTAGTAAAAAGGTTAACTATAAAATTAACACAAAAGCAATAAGTGACTATATTTACTATATACAAAATTTCTCATTTTAGATCGTGTCATCACATTGGTTTGTAAACTTACTGCCAAATATAACACAAAAACTAACCTACGCATTCTCGAAATCATTAAGCTTATTATAAAATAAAAATGTGCTAAACTATCATCTGGAAGATTAACCGAAACTCTCAAAGGACTAGCTAGCTGAATTTTTTGGACTGGTCGGCACAGACGCGTTCTGCTGCGACCTACTTATGTATAATCTCAGTAACTTGACTTTGCTCCCGGTCAAGCACGAAATGTACGAGGACAGGCGCTCCTCGCCCACCGCCTTGTACAGCGCCACCATGCAGAAAATCGAACTCTTCCTCACGGCACTTTCCAGATGATCCGTGCTCTGAAAACAAACAAAGTCAAATTTGTAAACTTGCTGGCGACGTTGGAGTTGCTGGTCCCGCTGACGTTGCTTTGATGGTCAACTTTTGCCGTATTTAAAGGAAGAAAGTGGAGGATATGAATTGATTACTACAAAAATTTAACATTTTAGAATTTTTTGAGTTTCTTGATGCCGAAATAAGTGTGTACAGATTAAGGCCTGGTTTGGGACAGTTTTCATCCCATTTGAAATGTCCTGTAAAAACGAGAGAAATTGACTTAGGACGATGGTCCCCCTTATATTAAAATTTATTATTTTGAATTTATAACACAATTTTTGGTTTCTTTATTTCCCTTATTTTTTTGTTGTTTCTTTCGATTTACAATTCTTTGTTTATTCAATTTTTCAAATTTTCAGGCTTTCATTTTTTAATTCCATGGTTTTCCACGTTCTCGATTTTTATTTTTCATTTTCCCAATTTTTCAAGTTCTCGATTTTATATCACAAATTTTCATTTTTTCAATTCCTTTATTTTTTGTTGTTTCTTTCGAGTTTCCAATTTTTCGTTTCTTCAATTTTACGAATTTTCAGTTTCTCAATTTTTCATGTTCCCGATTTTTATTTTTCAATGTGACAAATTTTTAATTTTTATTTTCTCGATTTATATCACAATTGTCCGTTTTTTCATTTCCTTTATTTTCTGTGTTTTTTTTTCGGCTATACAATTTTTCATTTGTTCAATTTTTCAAATTTTCAGACTTTGAATTTTCAGTTCGTCCATTTTTCAATTTTTAAATTTTTCACATTGCAATTTTTGGATTTCCAGTCTTCCGATTTTCCAATTTCATTAATTTTAAATATTTCTATTTCATAATACACATTTCTTTTTTTTTGATTTTTCACTTTTTCGATTCTTCAGATTTTCCAAGTTTTCATTTTGTAATTTTTCGTTTTTTATTTTTGATTTTTCAATTTTACAATTTCCCGACTTCCAAAATTTTCAAATTTTCGTTCCTTCAGTTTTTCGGTTTGCATCAGTTTTTCAATTTGGCAATTTTTCAATATTACAGATTTTCATTTTTCGATTTTTCAGTTTCTCACTATTTAATTTTTCCCTTTTACAATTTTTATTTTTTAACTTTCCCGATTTTTTAATTTTCACTTTTTCGATTTTATATCACAATTTTCCTTTTTTTGATTTCCTTTATTTTTTGTTGTTTCTTTCGATTTTACAGTTTTTCCTTTATTAAATTTTTCAAATTTTCAGGATTTTAGCAATTTTTCTTCAAATTTTCAAGTTTGATTTTCACTTTGTACATTTTTCAAGTTTTTATTATACACTTTTTCGTTTTTTGATTCCATGATTTTCCACGTTTAAAATTTTTCAATTTGCAGTTTTTCGATTTCCAGTCTTCCAATTTTTCAATTTCTTTAATTTTCAATATTTTGATTTTACAATACATATTTCTTGTTTTTATTTTTCACTTTTTCAATTTTTAATCTTTCGATTTTTCAAATTTTTGTTTGTTCAAATTTTCATGTCTGATTTTCACTTTTGACATTTTTCAAGTTTTCAGCATAAACTTTTTCGTTTTTTTATTTTTGATCTTTTAATTTTACAGTTTCTTGGCTTCTAAATTTTTCAATTTTTCGATTTGCATTATTTTAATTTTACAATTTTTCGATAGTAGTTTCTCATTTTTCGATTTTTCACACTCTCAGTTTTTAATTTTTGTCATTTTCAATTTTTCGTTTCCCCAATTTTTCAAGTTCTCGATTTTTATTTTTCATTTTTCCGATTTTTTAAATTTTCATTTTCTCGATTTTATATCACAAATTTTCATTTTTTCAATTCCTTTATTTTTCGTTGTTTCTTTCGATTTTTATTTATCAGTGTGGCAAATTTTTAATTTTTATTTTCTAGATTTATATCACAATTGTCCGTTTTTTCATTTTCTTTATTTTCTGTGTTTTTTTTTTCGATTTTACAATTTTTCATTTGTTCAATTTTTCAAATTTTCAGATTTTGAATTTTCAGTTCGTCCATTTTTCAATTTTAAATTTTTCAGTTTGCAGTTTTTGGATTTCCAGTCTTCCGATTTTCCAATTTCTTTAATTTTAAATATTTCTATTTCATAATACACGTTTCTTTTTTTTTCACTCTTTCGATTCTTAAAATTTTTCCAGTTTTCATTCAGTAATTTTTCGTTTTTTATTTTTGATTTTTCAATTTTATAATTTCTCGACTTCCAAAATTTTCAAATTTTCGTTCCTTCAGTTTTTCGGTTTGCATCAGTTTTTCAATTTGGCAATTTTTCAATATTACAGATTTTCATTTTCCGATTTTTCAGTTTCTCAATTTTTAATTTTTCCCTTTTCCAATTTTTTATTTAAAATTTTTATTTTTCATTTTCCCGATTTTTAAATTTTCACTTTTTCGATTTTATATTACAATTTTCCTTTTTTTGATTTCCTTTATTTTTTGTTGTTTCTTTCGATTTTACAATTTTTCCTTTATTAAATTTTTCAAATTTTCGGGTTTTTAGCAATTTTTCTTCAATTCTAGCTTGATTTCCATTTTGTACATTTTTCAAGTTTTTATTACACACTTTTTCGTTTTTTTATTTTTGATTTTTCAATTTTACAATTTGTCGACTTCCAAATTTTCCAATTATTCAATATTACAATTTCTCATTTTTCCATTTTTCACATTCTCGATTTTTAATTGTGCTCTTTTTCAATTTTTCAATACCCCTATTTTTATTTTGCATTTTCCTGATTTTTTATTTTTCATTTTCTCGATTTTATATCACAATTTTTTGTTTTTTCATTTCCTTAATTTTTGTTGTTTCTTTCGATTTTTCAATCTTTCGTTTATTCAATTTTTCAAATTTTCAGGCCAATCGCTTCCAATTCGTCGATTTTCCAATTTTTAAATTTTTCAGTTTGGAGTTTTGGGTTTCCACCCCTTTTTTTACTTTTTGGGTGTTCAATTTTTCGTTAAACTTCAGATTTCCCAAATTTTCGACAGTTTTATACTTCGATTTCTTAATTTTTTTTTCAACTTTTGGATGTTTTAATTTTTCTTTTTTAAAAAATTTTTTATTTTTTTTATTTCTCGATTTATCGAATTCATATGTTTGGATGTTTTAATTGTTCAATTTCTAAATTTATCAATTTCTCAATTTTTTTCTATTTCTCGATGTTTCGATTGTTCAGTTATCCGATTTATTTTTCAATTTTTTTAAATTCTCGAGTTTCGATTTGTCAATTTTTCAGTTTTTCGATTTTTAAGTTTTAGATTTTCGAATTTTTCTTTTTTGATTCTTTGATGTTTGGATTTCTCCATTTTTCAATTGTTCGATGTTTTAAATTTTAAATTTTTCGATTTCTGGACTTTTTGATTTTCCAGTTCTTCAGTATTTCTATTTTACAATTTTTCAAATTTCGACTTTGCTAAATTTTCAATTTTCCGATTTTTCGATTAATATATTTTTTTTTATTTTCCCGTTTCTCGAATTCGCAGTTTCGATTTTTCAGTTCTTCAATTTTCGACTGTTTTATATATATTTTGATTTGTGAATTTTTCGAGTTTTCAGTTCTCGCATATTTTAATTTTTCTTTTTTCCGATTTTTTTTATTTTTCGATTTTTCAATTTTTCGTTCCTTCAATTTTTCGGTTTGCATCAATTTTTCAATTTTTCAATATTACAGATTTTCATTTTTCGATTTTTCAGTTTCTCAATTTTTCATTTTTCCTTTTTCCAATTTTTTGTTTCCGATTTTATTTTTCATTTTCCCGATTTTTTAATTTTCCCTTTTTCGATTTTATATCTCACAATTTTCCTTTTTTTGATTTCCTTTATTTTTTGCTGTTTCTTTCGATTTTACAGTTTTTCCTTTATTAAGTTTTTCAAATTTTCAGGTTTTTAGCAATTTTTCTTCAAATTTTCAAGTTTGATTTTCACTTTGTACATTTTTCAAGTTTTTATTATACACTTTTTCGTTTTTTTATTTTTGATTTTTCAATTTTACAATTTCTCGACTTCCAAATTTTCCAATTTTTCAATATTAAAATTTCACGTTTTTCCATTTTTCACATTCTCGATTTTTAATTGTGTCCTTTTTCAATTTTCCGTCCCCTCAATTTTTCAACTCCCCGATTTTGATTTTGCATTTTCCTGATTTTTTATGTTTCATTTTCTCGATTTTATATCACAATTTTTTGTCTTTTCATTTCCTTAATTTTTGTTGTTTCTTTCGATTTTCCACTTTTTCGTTTATTCAATTTTTCAAATTTTCAAGCCAATCGATTCCAATTCGTCGATTTTCCAATTTTTAAATTTTTCAGTATGCAGTTTTGAGTTTCCACCATTTTTTTACTTTTTGGAGTTCTCAAATTTTCGACAGTGTTATACTTCGATTTCTTAATTGTTTTTTTCTACCGCCCACGTTTTTTGGTTTTCTAATAGAGCTATTAACGCACGCAAATGACGTCACAGCAGTTCGTTAATAGCGGAAAGGCGTTCTTTAATAGATCTGGTGTAATTTAGATCGGTAAGATTGGTAGCAATGACGAGAAATGTCAGGTGAATGTCAGTGGCAAATCTAAACTTAAATTTCCCACGTTTCCGGACGCGTAACTTCTTCGCAAGACATTTTAACCAATTTTAAATTACGAAAACTCGAATTGATTCGAATTACAATTGTTGTTGTGAAAATTCGAACCTCAAATATTTCGTGGTTAATGTCAGACCAACCCATCACCAACCACGACAAAAGTCCCCAGATTAAAAAAAAATGCAAATTTTAATGAAATTTTGGGAAAAAACGTGTGCGGTAGAAAAAATAGTATAAATAACTCGTTCATAAGGCCATTGAGGCACTCATCCTTTATATAACTCGCGGCTTCGCCGCTCGTTCTATAAACTTCGATTCGTGCCTCAATCTTTGCCTTATGAAACTCGTTCTTTAATATACTATTTCAACTTTTCGATGTTTTAATTTTTCTTTTTTAAAATTTTTCAATTTTTTTTTATTTCTCGATTTATCGAATTCAGATGTTTGGATGTTTTGATTGTTCAATTTCTCAATTTATCAATTTCTCAATTTTTTTCTATTTCTCGATGTTTCGATTTTCCAGTTTTTCGATGTTTCGATTTTTCAGTTATCCGATTTATTTTTGAACTTTTTTAAATTCTCGAGTTTCGATTTGTCGATTTTTCAGTTTTAGATTTTCGAATTTTTCTTTTTTGATTCTTTGATGTTTGGATTTCTCCATTTTTCAATTTTCGATATTTCAATTGTTCAATGTCTTAAAAAATTTTAGATTTTTCGATTTCTGGATTTTTTGATTTTCCAGTTCTTCAGTATTTCAAATTTTTACGTTGCTAAATTTTCAGTTTTCCGATTTTTCGATTAATATATATATTTTTTTATTTTCCCGTTTCTCGAATTCGCAGTTTCGATTTTTTGATTTTCGACTGTTTTATATATATTTCGATTTGTGAATTTTTCGACTTTTCACTTCTTGCATATTTTAATTTTTCTTTTTTCCGAATTTTTCGATTTTTCAATTTTTTGAGAACTCGATTTAGCGAGATTCGGATGTTTAGATGTTTTAATTGTCTCAGTTTTTGAATTTTTCGATTTATCGGTTTTTCGTTTTTTTACTTTTCGGCTTTTCGATTTTTGAATTTTCCGATTTTTCAATTGTCCAATTTTTTAAATTTTCAAGTTTGAATTTCTGAATTTTCAGTTTTCCGATTTCTCAATTAATCTATTTTTTGATTTTCCCATTTTCGACTTGCCAAGGTTTCGATTTTTCAGTTTTTCAGTTCCTCAATTTTTCGATTTTTCGATTCTTTAGGTTTGCAATTTTTCGGCTTTTCGATTTCCCAATTTTTCAAATTTTTAATTTCCAAATTTTTGGACATTTCGTTCAATTTTGTGAGTTTTCTCAGTTTTTCGATTCTTCAATTTTTCAATTTTGGGGTTTTTTTAGTATTTCGACTTTTGGATTTTTCACGTTCTGGATTTTTCGATTTCTCGACTTTTTATTCGATTTCTCGAGTTTTCAGTTCTTCTATATTTGAATTTTTCAATTTTCGAAATTGAAAGTTAATTATAAGTTACTTTTTTAAAAGACACATTAGAAAAACACGCAAGATTCGGTAATTCTCACTCACAGGGTGTGGGTGAGAATTTAAAAATTTGGCGATTGAAGTTTCTTCTTGTGAAAATATGGCAATGTATATTAAGAAAAAAAGGCGAAATACAAGCCCCGCCCACCCGCCCATTCTCAATTCTGACGACTTTTTTATTCGTCGTAAGCCAAGGGGCGGAGCTTAATTGTAAAATCCTTATTTTTCGACGAGAAAGTAAGTACCATATGAAATATGTTCTTGAGTAATTGTGCTATACAAAAAGAACAAAGTGTATTAATTAAAAAGAAAACCAAAAGACAAGCCCCACCCATCCGTCTCGATCTCAATCGTGATAAATTTTTCATTCGTTGTCAGACCGAGGGGCGGAGCGTAATTGCAAAAACGATATTTCCCTACACAAATTTATCATTTTAAACCTGTTTTAAGTTACTTGTTCTGAAAAGACGATTACGTATATTAAGAAAAAATGCAAAATGAGTCCCGCCCACCCGCCCTATCTCAATTGTGATGATTTTTTTATTCATTGTGAGTCAAGAGGGCTTAACATTAGTGGACCTCATCAAAATATGATTTTCCTGGAATTAGTGCTGTCAACCAGAAAAATCTCTATTTATCTTACAACGGCAACGTCAACGGCGAACAGCAGCGGCAGTTCATGAATCGACCTTAAAAATTGAGTCCTCAACAACACAGCACTAACCTTGATTAATCCGGGCATTATCATCGATAAGTGTTCGTCAGTCACGTCGGTAGGGTTCGTTTCGATCAGCTTCGTGAGCATTTTGATGGCCCCCAGGACCGGAGGGTAAGGACTCGTCTGGATTAAAGGCGCGAGCGTCGTCACGATGGTATGGAATGGACAAACGCTCATGGCGGCGGCAGTCGCTTCCGCCATTTTCACAACCTAGAGAAAACAGAAATTGTCAGCAGTCGCAACTTCGTACTTTTTATATTTATTAGAAATAAAATGTAAATATCTTCTCATTGTTCAAAACGGTGCTTAGGCAACCAATAATACGTCAATTGTAACTCTTGGTTATGCAACCAATAATACGCAAACTGTCAATAAATGGTACACATCCTTCGTTTTTTTAAAGGCATTTTATTGTGCACCTACCTCTCGTTTTTCATCACAGTGGGCATTCAGGACTCTCAACGTGAGCAACTCTACAAAATTGCACCAACAATCCTTCAGTTCCTTGCTTTGGAAAATCGCACTTAGGATTTCTAATACAATAACCTGAGTGTTCGTGTCTTTTTCATTCAAATTGTCTATCAGCAGACGAAGAAGCTTCCTGCAAACAAACCACTGCAATAAATCGCAACTCCCTTCCGAAACCTTACTTAAAATTTTGAACGATCGACTCCGTCTGCCCTTGCTTGATCATGTCGATCAACTGCGCCAGCAGCATCCTCTTCTCCTGCACGGGCGTCGGATGATCCACCACGCACTTCTCGAAAATGTTCTTAATAATATCAGACTCCTTCCACTCGCCCAGACTCTTGTAGCCGTTCGAGTCGGTTTCCGTGATCCCGTTGACGGAAGTGTACGGCGGCAAGGACCTGGGTCCGGAACGGGAATTGAAATTGGCCCGAATGGTGAGATCTTCCATCCTCTCCTCCAGGATGCCGATGTCGCTTTTGATGTCGTTCCCGATGGACATCTGCGATATTCCTGAATCTTGCGACGTGGTATCTCTGTCTCTGTCTAATTTCGAACCTAGCGTCTCGTAGCTGTAGTTCTGGATCTCGGCGGTGGTCTTCCTCAGACTCCTGTAGATCTCCTCTTGGTCTAGACCCTCGCGCAGGGGCGGCGTCCCAGGTGACAGGGTCTTCGGGCTGGGGTTCACCAGAGGGCTGCCCGGCTCGCTCCCGGTCGAGTTTTTCCTCATGTGGTTGTGGACTATGCTCCTGGCGACGTCTTGCTGCTCCTTGGACAACTCGGACAGCATCATCGTCACCTGCAACCAACCACGTTACCACCACACCATTACTACTATTATCTATACTTATATAATAAAACTGAAGCTTTTGTTTATTTGAACACGTTTATCTCAGAAACTACTGGTTCAAATTCAAAAAATCTTTTTGTGTTGGATAGTCTATGTATCATATCTACATATAGGCTATATAACATTACGCTACGATCATTAGGAGCGAAGTGGCAATGAAAAATTCGGAAAAACGGGAAAATTATTCCTCCTTTGAGAGCTTCCGTTGCGTACGCTGCTTAAACGGTTAAAGTTACGTAAAAATCATGTATGACGAAATTGTTCCCCTCTAAAAGTTCTAAAGAAAAGTCCGCGACAGCATATGTCTATCTTTTAAAGTCGACTCAGTATAACCTTTTTTATGGTAATGAAATTTGTTCTAAAATAATAATGCATTATGTGTAAAATTCTCGCGTCACAGTGTTTGTAACCGAACTTCTCCGAAATGGGTTGACCGATTTGTATGAAATTTTTTATGTATATTCGGTAGGTCTGAGAATAGGTTGTAAACTATTTTTTAAACCCCTAAGTGATAAGGGTGGCCCACCCTAAAAAATGTTGGTCTATTTTTTGGACAACATTTTTTATTTTTATTTTTTTAAGAATTGGCATCAAAAAATACACATAACCCTAAATTTTCACCTTTCTACCACCAACCCCCATTTTTTAATCGTCTATATAATAAAAATCAATTGCTGTTCCTGTTAGTCTCGCTAAGACTCAAAAACGGCTTGACCGATTTGAAGAATTTTATATATTACGGGGATGGTTTATAAATAAAAAAAATAAGGAAAACTTAAAAGAACAGTTAAAAAATAAAAAAATCTAAAAATTTTGTACGGGAATCGCCACTTCGAATTAATTCAATAGTTGGCATTTCTGACGGACCTGTCGTCTAACTGACGTGTCACACAAAACTAATTCTTCCGTGCAATTGTGAAAAGTATATTGCATTTCAAATCGTTCTTTGTTTTTCGTAAAAAAAAACGTCGTTTATTTTAAGAAAAGTCTTGGTGAATTTAATTACACATTGCGAAAGTTTCTTATTAATTTTGATCTGCCATTCTATTTACCTATATTCACTTTGTTGGTTTCGACAAAACCTCAAACTTTACCGTTATTTGAGGATTTAATTTGAAGTTTTCAATATTTTAAAATTCTCAAGACAAAATTTACAGATTTGATTGACTGTGAAAATAATTCTGTGTCGTTTTATGAAGTTCATTAAAATGCCGAGAAGACGACAGTCTCACATAGGTCCACGAAGTCAATCAAATGTGCGACGAACTACCTCAGGTGCAAACCGCAATGATTTATTTCATGGGTAATTCGGATATGGAAGTTGATCAGCGTTGTGCTCATAATCAACATGAATAAAATGAATAAAACTGAGTAGAAACTAATATTCGAAGTACGGAGTACCTACTTCATTATTACTCTTATATACCTGAGCATCTACTCTATGTACTGAGTACCTACTTGGAAACATTGTATATCCCCGGACACAAATTGAACATCTACGCGTTTTGTGAGCATTTAATCTAAAAATGAGGATCGGCGTGGCAAATAACTGAGCTGTCTGTAAAGCAGTTTAGAAAACGAGTAGGATCGTTGTAAGAGTGAATTTTAACTAAACATGGCGACTTTCATGAACGTGGAACGTCGTCAAAAGGTGCATTCAGTTTGAAAAACACATTAGGAGCATGAATATCGAAAATTTTTCAGGTAATTAACTCTTATTTATGCATAAATTGTGCAGTGCGTTTTTTATAACACTGGCCATAGAGATTCTCATCTCAAGGTGTCTACCCCATACTAACTTATATTTTGGTGACTCGATTTTTGCTTTGATGGTTGAACACTGTCACTGTTGTCCTTTTTTGTTGTATCGAGATGCTATTTGAGCATCAACTGTTACCTACTGAAGTATTAATATCATCTAGAAAAACTAGAAATATTTTGATTTGATATTCGAGTAGATACTTCGTATTTCGAGTATGAGCATCTATTGAGTTTTATTTATATCAACCATTGTCAAAAAATTGATCGAACGTTGTTTTGACAGAACTTCCTTCGCACCAAAAGTATAATGAAACATATTCAGCATTTTCGAGTTGAGTATTTTCTTCACACAATTTTGTGATGACCTAATCAACATTTACGATCAACACGTATACCACCTTGGATTGGTGCAGTGTAATACTAAAAATAACTGTATTGTATTCCCAAAATTATCTGCGAAAATCGAGTGAGCCATTCCATCAATTTTTTGGGGGCAATAAATAAATATTCTTAACAATTTACCATGCTTACAATAACTTTAAAACGTCTGCAAGATCTCAAAGTATTCATTTTTGCAACTCTTGAGTTATTCACTAAAATAAATTGACTGATCCATACATTTTTTGCAGTCACTGTAAAAGCAAATCTAAAAAATATGAATGCAATGATAAATTACGAAAATATACTGATGATATTTTCCACATTTTAGATAGGATCTATTCGGCAAAATCTTGAGATGACGTCTTCAAGTTTTTGGGCTTGATAAACAGATATATTTTGATTGAAAACCTACCATGTCAAACAGTAACTTCAAAACCTCTGCAATATTTCAAAATTCAGTTTTATAATTCTTGATTCAATCAATAAAATAAATTGACTCAGTGATTAATTTTTTTGAGACACCCCCTATAAGCAAAACTAAAAAATATGAATGGAATGATAAATCACAAGTATAGTCTCATCCTATTTTGGACATTTTAGATAGAATTCATTTGGCAAAATTTTGGGCTGACGTCATCAATTTTTTGGAGGGGATAAGTAAATATATTTTGAATAAAAATTTATTATGCTTATCATATGTTTAAAACATCTGCAAGATTTCAAAGCATTCGATTTTGCAGATTCAAAATTAAATTGTAGGTGAAACGAAGTTCACGAGGTCAGCTAGTTATTAATACCTGAGGTGTGTTGCAGTTCCACATCGCCACAATACAAATCTTCGCCGCGTTCCTCAACTCCACCGACTTCATGTCTTGCGTGAAAGCCACGATCTTCTGGAGCGCCTGATTGGCCGGCGCCGCCCCCACGAACTGGCTGCCGTCGGCGCAGTTGCATAGCGCCGTCAGGAACGTCAACACCACCGTCTTGACTTTGACGTTAGGCGTCTGCGTCGCGTCCACCAGGAACCTATACACGTTCTGCATGAGCAGCGGTATCGGGAAGTTGGCGCGCACGATCTCCAGCGTGGCCATCAGCTTCGACTGGACGGAGTTGAGGGTTTCCGTGCCGATCTTGAGGAAAACTCGCTGCAGAAGAACGTACACCCAGCTGTGGAGGTCGTTCTTGTGCATCTTGATCACTTCGTGGAGGGTGTCCAGGAACACGCTCAGACCTTTCGTGTGCGAGTCCATGAACATCTTCGTGAAGATCTCGGTCAGGTATTTTAGCTCGCCGGGGGTTAGCGGCACTTCGTTGCTGAGGTAATATTGCAGGGATAAGAGGCCGTCCTTGCGCTCCTGCCACACGGTGCTGGCGCAGAGGGAGATGATCTCGTTGATGTCCTGCAAGAAAAGGGAGTTAGAGGGGGCGGTGACTAGAGCGACACCATTGTGAAAAACACCAAATTTGAGTTTTATGGTTTCTAAATGTGGCAAGAAAGTGGTAGAATCGAAACCTCGGTTTTGTATACACAGGTGTCCCCAAATTTTTCACTATTTTGATCCGGAGTCTAGAGGTCGATTTATAAACTTGCCGCTGACGTTGCCGTTGTAAGATAAATAAACACGCAGCAAAGGTATGCGCCGTTTCATTCGTTGACGTTGCAATTAAGCTCCACCCCCTTGACTCACGACGAATAAAAAATCGTCATAATTGTGATAGGGCGGGTGGGCGGGGCTTACATTTTGCTTTTTTTTCTCAATAGTCATCTTATCACAACAAGAACCTAGAAACATTTTTTAAATAGTAAATTTAATGGGTGGAGCTTGTCTTTTGGTTTTCTTTTTTAATGAATACATTTAGTTTTCTTTGTATAACACGATTACTTAAAAACGTATTTAACATGATAATTTCTCGTAAAAAAATAAGGTTACGGCGAATAAAAAAAATCATCCGAATTGAGATAGGGCTGGTGGGCGGGGCTTATATTTAGCTTTTTTTTATTAATATACATAGCCATCTTTTCCCAACAAGAAACTTAAAATCTGGTTAAAATGGTACATTTTTTGTAAGGAAATATGGATTTTGCAGTAATGGGGCGGAGCCTAATTGCAAAATCAAAATTTCGTTATACAAATTTTCCATTTTAAACATATTTTAAGTTTCATGTTGTAAAAAGAAGTCTACACATGTTAAAACAAAAAGGCAAAATGTAAGCCCGCCCACCCACCCTGTCTCAATTGTGATGATTTTTTTTATTCGCCGTGAACCAAGAGGGCGAAGCTTAACTGCAAAATACTTATTTCTTTACAAGAAATTAAAAACATGTATGAGTATCATGTTGTTCAAAGAATACTATGTATATTTAGAAAAAAAAGGGAAAATATAGACCCCCGCCCACCCACCCTATCTCAATTGTGATGACTTTTTTTTATTCTTAGAAACGTAAAAACACGTTTAAACTGCTACACTTTTGTGGGGAAATATGGATTTTGGAAATAGACTCCGCCCCTAGATCTAGCAACGAATGAAAACTTCCATTACTACATGTTTAGATCAGGGCAGGTATGGGTGGGTCTTAATCTTTGGCTTTAATTTTTCTTAATAACATAGTATTTTTTGAACACGATACTCAAAAACATGTTTTCAATTTTTCGTAGATAAATAGGAATTTTGCAGTTAAGCTCCGCCCTCTTGACTCACAATGAATAAAAAAAAATCATCACAATTGAGATAGGGCGGGTGGGCGGGGCTTATGTTTTGCCTTTTATTTCTTAATATGTGCAGTCATCTTTTCACAACAAGAAATTGGAAACATTTTTAAAATAGTAAATTTGTATAGGGAAATATAGATTTTACAATTAAGCACCGCCCCTCGGCTTACGACGAAAAAAAATCATCAGAATTGAGACAGGGTGGGTGGGCGGGGCTTATATTTTGCCTTTTTTAGTTAATATACATGGCCATCTTTTCACAACAAAAAACTTAATACATGGTTAAAATGGTACATTTCCGCAAGGAAAGTCTACACATATTAAAAAAAAAGGCGAAATCTAAGCCCGCCCACCCACCCTATCTCAAATGTAATGATTTTTTTATTCGTCGTGAACCAAGAGGGCGAAGCTTAACTGGAAAATTTTTATTTCTTTACAAGAAATTTAAAAAAAAAATGCTTTTAAGTATCGTGCTATTCAAATACCATGTATATTAAGAAAAAAATCCAAAATATAAACCCCGCCCACCCACCCCATCGCAATTGTGATGATTTTTTTTATTCTTAGAAATTGAAAAGACGTTTAAAATGGTAAATTTTTGTTAGGAAATATCGATTTTGCAATTAGGCTCCGCCCCTAACGCTGCCAACGAATGAAAACTTCATTACTATTTAGATCAGGGCAGGTATAGGTGGGGCTTAATCTTTGGCTCTAATTTTTTCTTAATTCCTTGTAGACAAATATTAAGGATTTTGTAATTAATTTCCGCTCTGTTGGCTCTCGACGATTAAAAAAAAAATGATCACAATTGAGATAGGGCGGGCGGGCGGGGCTTATATTTAGCCTTTTTTTCTTTATACATAGCCATCTTTTCACGACAAGAAACTTAATACACGGTTAAAATAGTACATTTTTGTAAGGAAATATGGATTTTGCAGTTATGCTTAATTGAAAAATCGATATTTAAGTTTCATGTTGTAAAAAAAGTCTACACATATCAAAATAAAAAGCCAAATGTAAGCCCGCCCACCCGCCCTATCTCAATTGCGATATTTTTTTTATTTGCCGTGAACCGAGAGGGTGGAGCTTAACTGCAAAATATTTATTTCTTTACAAGAAATAAACATCTTCTTGAGTATCGTATTCTTCAAAGAATAATATGTATATTTAGTAAAAAAGGGAAAATATAGACACCGCCCACCCACCCCATCTCAATTGTGATGAATGAAATATGGATTCTGGAATTAGGCAGATATGGGTGGGGATTAATCTGTGGCTTTAATTTTTTTTTTTAATATACATAGTATTCTTTGAACAACTCGACACTCAAAAACATGAGAAATACGGATTTTGCAGATAAACTCCTCCCTCTTGGCTCACAATGAATAAAAAAATTATCACAATTGAGACCGGGTGGGTGGGCGGGGCTAGATTTTGCCTTTGTTTTTCTTATTATGTGTAGTCACCTTTTCACAAGTAACTTGAAACATTTTTAAAATGGTAAATTTGCATAGGGAAATATCGATTTTCCAATTACGCTCCGCCCCGAATGAAAAATGTCATCACGACTGAGATCGAGACGGGGGTGGGGCTTCTCTATTGGTTTTCTTTTTTAATGAATACATTTAGTTTTCTTTGTATAACATGATTGCTTAAGTACATATTTCAAATGGTAATTTCTCGTAAAAAAATAAGAATTTTACAATTAAGCTCCGCCCTTCGGCTGATTCACAGCGAATAAAAAAAATCACCACAATTGAGATAGGGCGGGTGGGTGGGGGTACATTTCTGCAAGGAAATATGAGGCGGAGCCTAATTGCAAAATCGATATTTCCTTATACAAATATTCTATTTTACATTTTTTAAGTTTCATGTTGTGAAAAGAAATCTACATATATTAAAACAAAAAGGCAAAATGTAAGCCCGCCCACCCGCCCCGTCTCAATTGTGGTAACTTTTTTTATTCGTCGTGAACCAAGAGGGCGAAGCTTAACTGCAAAATACTTATATCTTTACAGGAAATAAAAAACATGTTTTTTAGATTCTTTAATTTTTCGATACATATTTCAATTTGTCAATTTTTAATTTTTCGATTTCTCGATTTTTCAGTTCGCCATTTCTATTTTTCAACTTTTTCAATTTTAGGTTTTTGAATTTTTTGATGTTTCGATCTTTAGATCTTTCGACTTTTCGACTCTTCTGTATTAATTTTTCGGTTTTTGAATTTTTCAATTTAATTTTTTTTTTCGATTGTTCAATTTTTTTTATTTAAAAATTTTCGATTTTTCGATTTCTTTTTTATGGAGATTTTGAAATTTCGATTTTTCGATTGTTCAATTTTTATATTGCTAGCTTTTTAAATTTTTCGACGTTTCTAAATTTCCGATTTTTAAGATTCAAAATTTTTCGATTAGTCGATTTCTTAGATTTTCGACTTTCACATCTTGACTTCTCAATTTCTCGATTTTTCGATTTTTCAGTTTTCAATTCTTCAGTTTTTCGATTTTTCGTCGTCGATTTCTCATTTTGATTTCTCAATTTCCCGATTTTTCAATTTTGGGATTTTTCAATTTCTCTCCGGTTTTTCGATAACAGTTTTGAGATTCAATTTTTTTACTTTTCAATGTATCGATTTCTCGATTTTTTAGTTTTTGGGTTTTCGATGTTTAAAGTTTACATTTTTCAATTTCAAAATTTTTCGATTTTTCAGTTTTCAATCCTTCAATTTTTCGTTTTTTTAATTTCACTTTTTCTTCAATTTTTCGATATTTCAGGTTTGAGATTTTTCAAAATTTCGATTCAATTTTTCGACTTTTGGATTCTCAATTTTTCGATTTTTAAATTCACAATTTTTCAATTTTTCGAGATTTTTAAAATTCCAGATTTTTCGATTTTTTTTTTTTATAGATTTTGAACTTTCCATTTTTCGATTGTTCAATTTCTCAGTTTTTAGATTCAGAAAAAAATCCAAAATATAAACCCCGCCCACCCGCCCTATCTCAAATGTGATGATTTTTTTTATTCGTCGTGAACCAAGAGGGCGAAGCTTAACTGCAAAATAGTTATTTCTTTACAAGAAATTAAAAAAAAATGTTTTCGAGTATCGTGTTATTCAGATACCAAGTATATTAAGAAAAAAATCAAAAATATAAACCCCGCCCACCCGCCCTACCTCAATTGTGATGATTTTTTTAATTCTTAGAAACCTAAAACACATTTAAAATGGTGAATTTTTGTTAGGAAATATGGATTTTCCAATTAGGCTCCGCCCCTAAGGCTGCCAACGAATGAAAACTTCATTACTATTTAAATCAGGGCAGCTATGGGTGGGGATTAATCTTTGGCTTTAATTTTTTCTTAATTTCTTGTAGACAAATATTAAGGATTTTGCAGTTAATTTCCGCTCCGTTGACTTTCGACGATAAAAAAAAATCATCAGAATTGAGATAGGGCAGGTGGGCGGGGTTTATATTTTGCGTTTTTTTTTTTTAATATACGTAATCGTCTTTTCAGAACAAGAAACTTAAAACATGTTTACAATAGCAAATTCTTGTAGAAAAATATGAAACTTGCAATTAAGCCCCACCCCTCTATCTGACAACGAATGAAAAATTCATCACAATCACATCTCAAAAACATATTTTTAATTTCTCGTAGAGAAATAAGGATTTTGCAGTTAAGTTTCGCCCCATTGACTCACGACGAATAAAAAAAATCATCACAATTGAGATAGGGTGGGTGGGCGGGGCTACATTTTGGCTTTGTTTCTTTTTATATGTAGACTTATTTCGGCAACAAGAAACTTTAAACATGTTAAAAATAATAAACTTTTGTAGTAATCAACTTAAATCCGCCACTTTTCTACTACAACCCCTTTAATTATGGCAAAAGTTGAACGTCAAAGTTACTATACTTGGCAACAAATATAAATGACAATTTCCAGCTCTAAAAGCAGCGTGAACTTCAACGTCAACAGCACGTTTATAAATCCCACTTCAATCTGATACGTTGCACGGAAAATAGTGGCGTCCACACACAATGGGACACCCGTGCGTGGTCACTACACCAAGCATTCCCAGCTAGTAATAACTCAGTCATGCAAAGTCCGTCCTCAGAAAAAAACGTCTAAATAAGCAAACCAAAATGAACTGCAACCACTAGTGCGTAATGTTGTTAAAGAATGAGATTAGTACAATCCGTAACGTAAAATTACTTACACGGCAGGGTTCCCACAACTCCCTGCTCGAAAGTCTTTGCTGAGAACCACTCCATGAATATGACTGACAAAAAAACGCTTCGTTATCACAAGCACAACATAAAACATCGATTACGAAACGAAAAAACATCAAGCTTGACGACATTAACGCATCAAGCAACACGTAAACTAAACACTTACGTCACTGGGTCGCCTAAACGAATCAAAAGATCTCTCCGAACATACGCTAGACGTCTCGGATTCGTCTGAGTGGTTTTCCAAGGAACGCATGGTTTTCCTGGGGCTCCGGTAGTGGTCCGCTGAGTCATTCTAGACACAATAGTAGTAAGCGACCAAAAAGTCTCGTAAGAAAATACTCACGAAAGCGTCCGCCAAAGCGTTTTCGGCCTCTCGACTCTGCTGGAGGATTTTCTGGGCTAGCACGGGCCTGGAGGCCGGGCTCAGAGGAGGCCTCTCGCTTCCTCGGTTTCTAAATCTACCCAGAGTGGATCGGTTGGGGCTGGTCTCTCTGGAGGTGTCCCGCGATCCGGTGGTGGACCTGGGGATGCCTGAAGACAGTCTTCGAGGTCTGGGAGAATCGTGCTCCGTGCTCCTATTGTACAAGTAGGCCAGACGCGAACTCGGAGAGCCCGATCTGCTGGTCGCTGCAACGCTTATTATTACGAGAGTTCGATAATCAGTGAAAATAGTTACGTTGAGATTGCGAGTTTCTGTTCCTCGTTCTTCCGAGGCGTTCTGGCGACTGGGTGGAGACCGTGTCGGCGGCTTTCCTCGGCCGTGCTGGACAACAAATACTTAAAATTCGGCATTTTCAAAACGACGATTAGTTAATAATTGTTAAAAAAAATGTTAAATACCTGATTGCGCAACCTCTCCCTCTAAAGACATGGAAAAAAGCAACAACTAGGTTAGAAAATGGTAAGAACACTCCTAAAACTAAAGCATGTTAAAATCTACGATTACGTCGCTTGCTGTTATTCGAATTAGAATACAAAAAAGATATTCGTATTATTTTTATTATTATTATTAGTGAGCAGGGTGATAACAGATGTACTAGTACCCCCCGACAAGTAAGCACTTACGCAGACTAGCCGTCCCCGACGATATTTTATTACGCCCCATGGCGGCATATTGAGCTCGCACTTTCGCCCTCTGGGCCGCCTGCAAATCGATGGCTGAATTGCTTCGGAAGCCTTTGCGGCCTGAATCTGAAAACCGAAAGCTCCGATTACTCTCAGATTGAAAACTTGGCTAGATTAACAATGTACAACGAACTGACGTACTTTCCCTTGAGAGTACCGGTATCCCGCTACGTTGTCTGTAGCTTCTGGGCAACGAAGGCGCCCTCTGAAGGCCACCACCGGTACCGGTGAGGTTTTCGGTGCTACCTGACGTCCCAGCAGCAAAACAGATTAAAAAATTTTAAATCACCACTTCCCTTAATTAGCGTTTTGTATGGTTGCGCTTGCGATAACCTGCTTCCGGTGCAATTTCTACACGAGTCGGTTTTATCAAATCGCACACAAATCCCCCACGTACTGCTCAAAGCCTGACTTAATGGAGTTTGTTATTGCAGTGACACGCATGCACAGTTCCATTAATTGCGAAAATAAGCAAAACTTGCATCATTAGAGTCAATAGAGGTTGATTAAACGTCGCTGTTTATTTGAGGATGCGGGAAATCATTAATATATTTTCCGATTTCTGTAATTTCGCTAAATTTTGTCCTAATTTCCAAATTTCGTGTTAAATGTCTGCATCACGAAGTGTAAAAAACACCGTATTTAATTAAGTGATAATCACATGTGTTCCGTGACTGTCGCCACTTTTAAATCTATTTATAATAAAGTTGCGTGATGGCGGGCGCAAGCTTGGAAAAAATTAAACGTTGTTAATTGCACATTACGTTTATTTTGAGCTATAAAACATTACAACTGTTTGGCTATTTATTTATAAAAAAATATAATTACAATGAGGTTAAGGTGACTCGATAACAAGTGGTTAAATAATGATTTAAAAGTAAGATGGGAGTTAAGGAAGAAACGTTAATAGACGTATATAATTCGAGTCAAAAAATACTCTCTAACTTAAGTAACAAAAATAATGGATGCTTATTTACATAATACAGGAAGACAAATCATTTTCTAAAAAATATAAATCTACTCCTTCGTGATTTCTGAAAAAATATATTTAAATTGTTGGTCATTCAGGTATAGTATGGAAAACATCCCCATGCAGAAAGAAAATCGTACACCAAAAATATTCAAAGTAACAAAAATGGAAAAACTACTAAAATGGCTGTTTTAAAAAAAAGCTAGATTCATTACGAAGGTTAGAAAAGACTTGGAAATATTAGGACCACAATTCTGATTATCCAACCAAAACTACCACCGTCATATAGATATGGATCGTCTTTTTTAGAAACTGAGACGGTTTGGGGAAACACCAAAATTTAAAAACAAGAAATTTCTAGCTTAAACTCGACAATTTTTCTAGGGTTTCAGACTTAAAAGACCTACCGAAAAATGGTGGAAAAAGAACATGCAAACTGTTAAAAAATATCTGCCTTTTTAGAACCTGACAAGCATCTTTGCACTGAAAAATGACACTACCATCCAAATAATTTTAAAAAACGCACTCTATAGTGTGTACCAATTTTAAAACAAAAAACTTCTTTTGTCTAAATAGCCAAACCAATTATTTTTACAAACAAAAAAATTATCACCGCTTTCTAAATTCTGAACACAAGTTTAAAACTCATCGTGCTTCTAGCGATATAAACTCCCAAAAGTTCATTATTCTCATAAACGTCTATTTTTATCGTCTAATTACTCGTCGGCTAACTTTGACTTAAACCCCTTCAGCGCCTAAAACCTTTGAAACACCGTTTTTATTTTAATTCAAATTAAATCACCTTCTTGTGACAAGCAAAACAAAACTCGTTACCAAAAGGTTAACAACGCGATCGATCTAAACGCGATTTGAACCTTAACCTTTCTTTTTCATTATTGCCAATCCATATACAACATAACTTTGCCTACGCCCCCAAAAAAAAATAAATTATAAAAAATAGAAATTAAAAAAATCGTACCTGTGGCACTTTGCGGCGTTGCCAAAGTCCGTCCATACCCCCTCGGCGTCTTGAACCCGCTCGCTAGATTATTATTAGACGAACTCGCCGACATCCCATCCCCTTGTAAGGCCCTTCGGTAACTAGGCTCCAGACTCTGCAGCAGCGCTTCCGCCTGGTCCGGGAAGTGTTCCCGGAAGCCCCGGAACGCCCTGCAACCACCTCATTACCTGGCGAACTTTTGCAACCCTCCAACCTACTTTCGCGATGACACCCTGGCGTCCGGGTCGGCGTCCGCGATTCCCTTCTTCACGGCCTCCTGGAGGGCCGCCACGTGCCGCTCGAGCGAGTGCGGAGGCCAGTTGTTGAGGATGTAGTCGAGGAACTCGCAGCAGCTCCTGCGGATGTCCTTGCTCTTGGAGGTGGCGGCGTGGCTGGTGATGATGGGGATGAGGCGCGGGCTGTGGATGTTCTGGATGATGAACCTCAGGGTGACGATGCCGGACGTGGACATGATCTGCAAAGGGTGAGGGTGAAGATGGGGTCGGCGGGTCGGGGGCGGTTACCTTGGCCGAGTTCTGGATCAGGTTGAGTAGGGGCAGCATGAGGAGCTCGGCGGTTCGGTCGAATTTGCTGCCTATGACCTGGGATAGGTAGGCGATTGTGATGCAGGCTTCTCGCACCACCTGGGATCGCAGGTCTTTGATGGTGGCCTGGAGGGGGATGTCGAGTTGCTTAAGGCCGTGGTGGAATTCTTCGTAGTTCATCGCGTCGGCGAGGATGAGGGCGCGGATTTTTTTCAACTGTGGGGGAAGTTACGTTACTTGAGGTGTAATAGGGCCGGGTCAGCACAAGTCAGGTCAAGTAAATGAAATATATATCTTTACATATTTTAAGTGACCGCTTCCTAGGCTGTACAGCCACAGCTTATTTTTTCAATTACGATGCGACGTTGCCACGTTATTGTAATTTTTTTGGAATTTTGGAGCATAGAAAGGTTTACAAAAAAAAAATATAGTGGAGTTATTTTTAAAATCTCTGTTACAACATTTTGTGAGGAGATAAAGAAACAACACTCTGTATAGTTAAACATAATTTTAAAGTATATTCTTCAAAGAATTGTTCAACTTTCACCACTGATTTTCTTTAGTGACCCACCCTGTATATATTAAGCTAAAAAATTCTCTCTTATATTTTTAATAAAAAACTTGCGTTATAAAAATTCATCTAAAGTTATTTAGATGATAATTCCCTAGTTCCCACAATAGAATTTAATAAATCTAGTTTCCTAGATGAAAATACGAAAATGCCAAAAACGAATTTATTGCGGTTCAATTTATACGGTACATTTATGAAGTTAATTAAGCGTCACCGCTAAAAATTGTGTTGGTTTAACGATCGGTTGATCTTCACATAGTGGCCATACGCAATTTTCCGATTTGTACTACAATTTTTCATTTTTCGATTTTTTTTTTTAATTTCCATTTTCTCGATTTTATATCAATTTTTCGTTTTTTCATGTCCGTTATTCTTCAATGTTTCTTTCGATGTTATAATTTTTCGTTTATTCGAGTTTTCAAAATTTCAAACTTTGATTTTTCGATTCCTGTTCCCCAATTTTTTAATTTTTAATTTTGCAAGTTTTGGATTTCCACTTATCCGATTTTCCAGTTTCTTTACAATGAATATTTCGTTTTTTCGATTTTTCTTTCTCAAATTTTAATCTGTCGATTTTCCAAATTTTTGTTTCATCAATTTTTCAAGTTTTTGATTTCTAGTTTTCAGATTTTTCATGTTTCATGCTATACTCTTTCGTTTATTCAGTTTTGATTTTTCAGTTTTTGAGTTTCTCAATTTTTAATTTTTCGAGTTTTTAATTATTCGTTTCCTCGATTTTTCAAGTTTTTTTTTAATTTTCCATTTCCCGATTATTTTTAATTTCCATTTTCTCGATTTTATATTAGTTTTTCGTTTATTCGAGTTTTCTAAATTTCAACTTTGATTTTTCAACGTCTGTTTTCCAATTTTTTAATTTTTCAAATTTTGCAATTTTTGGATTTCCACTTTTCCGGTTTCTTTACAATGAATATTTCGTTGTTTTCGCTTTTTAACTCTCTCAATTTTTCATCTGACGATTTTTCAAATTTTCGTTTCAGCAATTTTTCAAGTTTTTGATTTCCAGTTTTTAGATTTTTCATTTTTCATGTTATACCTTTTCGTTTATTCAGTTTTGATTTTTCAATTTTATAATATCCTCATTTTTTATTAATTTTTTTATTTTTCATTTTTCAATTTTTCAGTTTCTCAATTTTTAATATTTCGATTTTTAATAATTCGTTTCCTTAAACTTCCAATTTTTTTTTACTTTTCATTTCCCGATTTATTTAATTTCCAATTTCTCGATTTTATATCAATTTTTCGATTTTTTCCGGTCCGTTATTTTTCAATGTTTCTTTCGATTTTATAATTTTTCGTTTATTCTAGTTTTCAAAATTTCAAACTTTGATTTTTCAATTCCCCTGTTTTCCAATTTTTTAATTTTACAATTTTTGGATTTCCACTTTTCCGATTTTTAACTTTCTCAATTTTTAATGTCGATTTTTCATATTCTGGTTTCATCAATTTTTCAACTTTTTAAGACCCAGTTTTTAGATTTTTCATTTTTCAAGTTACACCTTTTCGTTTATTCAGTTTTAATTTTTCAATTTTACAATATTTTCATTTTTTATTAATTTTTCAGTTTATCAATTTTTAATTTTTCGATTTTTTAATTATTCGTTTCCTCAATCTTTCAAGTTTTTTTTTTTCATTTCCCGATTTTTTTATTTTCCATTTTCTCGATTTCATATCAATTTTTCTTTTTTTTCATGTCCGTTATTTGTCAATGTTTCTTTCGATTTTATCATTTTTCGTTTATTCTAGTTTTCAAAATTTCAAACTTTGATTTTTCAATTCCTGTTTTCCAATTTTTTAATTTTACATTTTTTGGATTTCCACTTGTCCGATTTTTAACTTTCTCTATTTTTAATGTCGATTTTTCATATTCTCGTTTCATCAATTTTTCAACTTTTTAAGACCCAGTTTTTAGATTTTTCATTTTTCGAGTTACACCTTTTCGTTTATTCAGTTTTAATTTTTCAATTTTACAATATTTTCATTTTTTGTTCATTTTTCAATTTACCAATTTTTAATTTTTAGATTTTTTAATTATTCGTTTTCCCAATCTTTCAAGTTTTTTTTCATTTCCCGATTTTTTTATTTTCCATTTTCTCGATTTCATATCAATTTTTCGTTTTTTTCATGTCCGTTATTTTTCAATGTTTCTTTCGATTTTATAATTTTTCGTTTATTCCTGTCTTCAAAATTTCAATTTTTGATTTTTCAATTTCTCTATTTTAGAGTTTTTTTCTAATGAATATTTCGTTTATTCGATTTTTAACTTTCTCATTTTCAATTTTTCATTTTTTCATGTCCGTTATTTTTCAATGTTTCTTTCGATTTTATCATTTTTCGTTTATTCTAGTTTTCAAAATTTCAAACTTTGATTTTTCAATTCCTGTTTTCCAATTTTTTAATTTTGCATTTTTTGGATTTCCACTTATTCGATTTTTAACTTTCTCAATTTTTAATGTCGATTTTTCATATTTTCATCAATTTTTCAACTTTTTAAGACCCAGTTTTTAAATTTTTCATTTTTCAAGTTACACCTTTTCGTTCATTATTCAGTTTTAATTTTTCAATTTTACAATATTTTAATTTTTTATTAATTTTTCAGTTCATCAATTTTTAATTTTTCGATTTTTTAATTACTTGTTTCCTCAATCTTTCAAGTTTTTTTTCATTTCCCGATTTTTTTTAATTTCCATATCAATTTTTCGTTCGTTATTTTTCAATGTTTCTTTCGATTTTATAATTTTACGTTTATTCTAGGTTTCAAAATTTCAAACTTTGATTTTTCAATTCCTCTGTTTTCCAATTTTTTAATTTTTCAATTTTCCAATTTTTGGATTTCCACTTATCCGATTTTTCGGTTTCTTTACAATGAATATTTCATTTTTTCGATTTTTACCTTTCTCAATTTTTAATGTCAATTTTTCAAATTTTCGTTTCATCAATTTTTCAAGTTTTTGATTTCCAGTTTTTAGATTTTTCATTTTTCATGTTATACTTTTTGTTTATTCAGTTTTGATTTTTAAATTTTACAATATTTTTATTTTTTATTAATTTTTCAATTTTTCTGTTTCTCAATTTTTAATTTTTCGTTTCCTCAATCTTTCAAGCATTTTTATTTTTCATTTCCCGACTTTTTTAATTTCCATTTTCTCGATTTTATATCAGTTTTTCGTTTTTTCATGCCCGTTATTTTCCGAGGTTTCCTTCGATGTTATAATTTTTCGTTTATTCGAGTTTTCAAAATTTCAAACTTTGATCTTTCAATTCCTGTTTTCCAATTTTTTTATTTTTTATTTTGCAATTTTTGGATTTCCACTTATCCGATTTTCCGGTTTCTTTACAATGAATATTTCGTTTTTTGAATTTCTCAATTTTTGATCTGTCGATTTTCGTTTCATCAATTTTACAGCATTTCCATTTTTTTATTAAAAAAGTGAAAATGGAAAAATAAAAAATCGAAAACTTAAAAATAGGAAAAAACTGAAAAATCGAAAAATTGCAAATCAAAGAATTGACGAAACGAAAAATTGAAACGAATCAAATCGAAAAATTGGAAAACACAAAAATTGTAAAATCGAAAAATTATAGAAACAAATTTGAAAGATCGAAACATTAAAAAATTAAATATTAAGAAATTGAAGATGTTTTAAAATGAAAATGGGAAAATTCTAAAACCGTAAAATTGAAAAAATGAAAACTAGAAAAATTGCAAATCTAAAATTGAAAAAACGAAAATTAAAAAAAATCTAACAGTTGAAAAAATTGAAAACCAAAAAATTGAAAAATCAAAAAATTGAAAAGTTTCACAATGGAACAAAAAATGAAAAAATAAAGACAAAAAAACCGAAACGAAAAACTGCAAATCGAAAAATTCGAGAAATAATCTGGAAAATAAAAAAATTGAAAACTCCTGAAATAACCAATCAAAAAATTGTAAAATCCTTAAACGGAAAAATTCAACAGTTGGAAAAACGAAAAACTGAAAAATTTTAAAAGCAAAAACTTATACTTTTTCGTTCATTCAGTTTTGCTTTGTCAATTTTAAAATATTGTCATTTTTAATTAATTTTTCAATTTTTAATTATTCGTTTCCACAATCTTTCAAGTTTTTTTTTATTTTTCATTTCCAGATTTTTTTAATTTCCATTTTCTCGATTTTATATCAGTTTTTCGTTTTCTCATGCCCGTTATTTTTCGAGGTTTCCTTCGATGTTACAATTTTTCGTTTATTCGAGTTTTCAAAATTTCAAACTTTGATCTTTCAATTCCTGTTTTCCAATTTTTTTATTTTTTATTTTGCAATTTTTGGATTTCCACTTATCCGATTTTCCGGTTTCTTTACAATGAATATTTCGTTTTTTCGATTTTTAAATTTCTCAATCTGTCGATTTTCCAAATTTTCATTTCATCAATTTTTCAAGTTTTTGAATTCCAGTTTTCAGATTTTTTATTTTTCATGTTACACTTTTTCGTTTATTCAGTTTTGATTTTTCAATTTTACAAAATTTTCATTTTTTATTAATTTTTCGGTTTCTCAATTTTTAATTTTTCGATGTTTTAATTATTCGTTTCCTCAATCTTTCAAGTTTTTTTATTTTTCATTTCCCTATTTTTTTTAAATTCCATTTTCTCGATTTTATATCAGTTTTTCCGTTTTTTCATGTCCGTTATTTTTCAATGTTTCTTTCGATTTTATAATTTTTCGTTTATTCGAGTTTTCAAAATTTCAAACTTTGATTTCCTCTGTTTTCCAACTTTTTAATTTTTCAATTTTGCAATTTTTGGATTTTCACTTATCCGATTTTCCGGGTTTTTACAATGAATATTTCGTGCTTTCAATTTTTAACTTACTCAATTTTTAATGTCGATTTTTCAAATTTTCGTTTCATCAATTTTTCAACTTTTTGATTTCCAGTTTTTAGATTTTTCATTTATTCAGTTCTGAATTTTCAATTTCACAATATTTTCATTTTTTCATTTTTCGTTTTTTCATGTCCGTTATTTTTCATTGTTTCTTTCGATGGAATAATTTTTCGTTTATTCGAATTTTCAAAATTTCAAACTTTGGCTTTTCAATTTTTTTAATTTTTCAGTTTTGCAAGTTTTGGATTAGATTTTTTCAGTTTTTAGATTTTTCATTTTTGAGGTTATACTTTTTCGTTTATTCATTTTTGATTTTTCAATTTTACAGCATTTCCATTTTTTTATTAAATTTATTAATTATTATGGAAAAATAAAAAATCGAAAAATTGCAAATCCAGAATAGACGAAACGAAAAATTGAAACGAATCAAATCAAAAAATTAGAAAACCCAAAAATTGAAAAATCGAAAAACAATTTGAAAGATCGAAATATTGAAAAATTAAATATTGAGGAATTGAAAAGTCTTAAAATAAAAATGGAAAAATTCGAACACCGCAAAATTGAAAAAGTGAAAAATGTTTTAAATTGTAAATAATTTATTATTACATATTTGAAATGTAAACTAGAAAAATTGCAAATCTAAAATTGAAAAAACTAAAAACCAAAAAATTGAAAAATCCAAAAATTGAAAATTTTCACAATGAAAAAAGAAAAATTATGAAATCGGAACATTAAAAAAACGAAAAATTGAAAAAATAAAGACAAAAAAACCGAAACGAAAAACTGCAAATCGAAAAATTCGAGAAATAAAAATTTGCAAAATCAAAAAATTGAAAACTCGTGAAATTACCAATCAAAAAACTGTAAAATCCATAAACTGAAAAATTCAACAGTTGCAAAAACGAAAAACTGAAACATTTTAAAAGGAAAAATTTGAAGAATTGTTTGTCGTAAAATGGAATTTCCTGGCGGAATTGGACCCTCACATTCATACACGTGACTCTCTATAGATGTTTCCTGGAGGAGTCGCACCCCTACTTTTTGCACATCTACGCATTGTGTTCCTTATCTCGCCCCCAAATTCACGATCGCCCCCACTAAACTCAATAATCAGCCCTAGAATAAGGGAAATCAACGAGAAAACGAAAATTAACAGCCGCCACCAACAATTCCTTTTATAAAGGGAATTCAATAGCTCCATGGAAACAACACACAAAGTCGGGAAAATGGGAGCACCGTCTCCAGGAAAACCTCCTGATAGCAATAAGGGCGATTTTGTTAAGGACGGATAAAACGAGGTGTCGTCAATTCAATTCAACTTTATTGAAAATTACTGTTAGTGAAACTGGCCTTTGTTGTTTTTTATTGTCGAGTCTTTGAGATCTTGTTACGGCATTGTTCTTGGAACTTTCAACAACCAAGAATTACATAAAAATAGAATTTAACCTCAAATCATATGGGTCGAGGTGCAGATTAACATCGGTAAAATATTGTTGGCCTCGAAGCGTAAGTCAAGTATCACTTACGCCCCCAGAGCCACAACGTCCCAATTGCGTCGGAATAAATCATAATTCTCGCACACCCCAGCCGGCAATAGACGAAGAAATCGCCGACTTTATTTGATTAAAGTGAAAATTACTTACAGCGTCCACTCGTTTGTTCCATTCTTTACTAGGGTCGGATATCGTGTCCTGGATGTTTTTCATATGGTCGTTCACTTCACGTGGAGAGAAAATTCGCACCGTGGGCACGTCCTCGAACGACCTGGTAAACGTATCTTCGTCCACGCTACCAGCTGAACCCGCTGAAAGTTTATGTTGTGGATGAGGTTGTCGAGATTTTGTGCCCTTCGAGCCGACAAACGGGTGGAAAAGAAACAATTTTTTTTTTTATAATAATAATTTTGGTCGTAAAACCCCGAACAGGGTCGTATTTGCGCTACGAGTTTAATTGCGGTCCTGCACGTGACGTAATAACACTTTTCCACACGTCCGCCGCCCGGTTTTACAAGGGCACGCCCTACACAGATTAGTCGTGATGGCAATGACGTAAACAAATGCTAACTTACATGAAAAGTGAAGTTTTCTCACGGAACCCACTCTGCTTAAAACTGTTCATGCAAGAGAAATTAATAATGAAAAAAAGAAATAAAAAGATTAAAACAAAATTAAACAAGGTTAACTCACGATAGAAAATAATAAATAAAAAAAGCAACGAACTGATGATGGATTAACATTGTTTTTTTATGAACATTCCTCACCGGGATTGGCGCTGCTCGCCGTCGTGATGGTCCTGGCTTTGACGCCGCTGCCCAGGTTGGCCTTCTTCACAGGAATCACCGGCTTCTGCATCACCGCCCTGTCTATCTCGTCGGTGTTATCTGCGGAGTTGCGAGATTAATCCCGACGATTCCTACTAATTATAGCAGTACTAACAATCCGCAGACCTACTGGCCGTCAGGAGCAATTCCCCACTATCTTTGACTTCGTCGAACCTGGCGGACAATGCCTGCCATTTAGCGGGCGGCACGATGTTGCGTCTCTGGAGGTCTACCCTCAGCTTTTCGCCGACGTGCTTGTAGAGGTCGACCAGGGTGTTGAAAGCGGTGTCTCTGACGGTGGAGGTGGGGTCCGATAGGAGTTTCACTATGTCGGGGATGAAGCGGCTCAGGGTGAGCGACTGGGCGCCGTGTCTGGCAAAAAGCGGTTTTTTTTAGTACAAACGAAATAATTGAAATTTTATTATAAACTAGGAAATTATTACAACCAGATTTTGTACGATAAAGTGTAAACGTGGAAAACCGACGCTTGGCGACAGCGACTCCACATTATCATGTCCAAAATATAATTTTTTTTTATATATAACAATTTTTCGTTTCTCATTTTTTTTCATTTTTCCATTTTTCAATGTTTCTATTTAAAATTTTTCGGTTTTTAAACTATTTTTTTCAGTTCCTAGATTTCTTTTCCAATTTTCTTAATTGTTCGTTTCCTCAATTTTTCAAGTTTTTGATTTTTATTTTTCATTTGCCGTTTTTTTTTAATTTCCATGTTCTCGATTTTATATCAGTTTTTCGTTTTTTCCAAGTCCGTTATTTTTCAATATTGCTTTCGATTTCACAATTTTTCGTTTATTCGATTTTTCAAAATTTCTAACTTTGATTTTTCAATTCCTCGGTTTTATAATTTTTAAATTTTTTAGTTTTGCAATTTTTGGATTTCCAATTATCCAATTTTCCGGTTTCCTTACATTGAATGTTTAATAAATAATGAATTAATGATTCCAAAAATTGGAAAGAAAAAAATTCAACGGATCCAAAAATTGGAAAATCGAAAAATTATAGAACCGTCAGAATTATCCTACTTTTTTTTGTAAATATGTAATACTAATTATATATTTAAAATAAATTTCACTTTCAATTTTACGCTTTTAGAATTTTTCCATTTTTCAATTACTAGATGTTTCATTTATTCGGTTTTTAAATTTTTCGACTTTTAATTTTTCAGTTCCTCGATATTTAATTTTTCAATTTTTCGATTTCTCAGTGTTACAGTTCTTCGACTTTGCAATTTTTTGTTTCCAATTTTTCGAATCATTAATTCATTTCGATTTTTTAGATTCTTAATTTTTCGATGATTCGGTTTTTAGTTTCTTTAGTTCTTCGATTTGCAAATTTTGAATTTTCCACTTTTTCGATTTTCCAACTTCTGCATTTTCCAATGTTTAGATTTTGTAAGTTTTCAATTTGAATTTCTCGTGTTTTCAGTTTTTCAATTTTCGATTTTCAATTTTTCACTACTTAAATTTTTCATTTTGGTTTTTATTTTCTTAATTCTTTCAATTTCTCCGTTTTTCAGTGTTCTGATTTTATAATCAACTTTTAGATGTTTTTAGTTTTTCGTTTCTTCTAGTTTTTATTTTAATATGTAACTTAAAAAAAAACTTTTTCAGTTTTTCGATTTTAATTTTTCAATTTCTCGAATGCATTTAATTTTTCAATTTTTCGATTTCTCAGTGTTACAGTTCTTCGACTTTGCAATTTTGACGATTTCATAATTTTTCGATTTTCCAATTTTTGGATTCGTTGCATTTTTTTCCTTCCAATTTTTCGAATCATTAATTTACTTTCGATTTTTCAGATTCTCAATTTTAATTTTTCAATGGTTCGGTTTTTAGTTTTTTTAGTTCTTCGATTTGCAATTTTTCAATTTTCCAATTTTCCGGATTCCTTACATTGAATGTTTAATAAATAATGAATTAATGATTCCAAAAATTGGAAAGAAAAAAATTCAACGGATCCAAAAAAATCGAAAAATTATAGAACTGTCAGAATTGTACAGTCAAAAAGCTGTAACATTGAAAGATGGAAATTGAAATTGAAACTTTATTATGTATCAAGATCGAAAAGTTTTAAAATCCAAGCACTGCAAAATTGAAGTGATATATATATTTTTTTTGATATCACAATTTTTCGTTTTTCATTATCTTTCATTTTTCAGTGTTTCGAGTCGAGAAATGTAGACTTCCAAATTTTTCAATTTTTCGTTTCTTCAATTTATCGATTTGCAATTATCCGACACGTACTACAATCGATTTTTTTATTGTACGTTTCCTCAATTTTTCAAGCTTTTAATTTTTTTATTTTTCGTTTTTGTATCAGTTTTTCCTTTTTTTTTTTCATGTCCAATATTTTTCAATGTTTCTTTTGATCTTATAATTTTTCGTTTATTCGATTTTTTGAAATTTCAAACTTTGATTTTTTAATTCCTCGGTTTTCCAATTTTTCAATTTTTAACTTTGCAATTTTTGGATTTCCAATTATCCTATTTTTCGGTTTCTTTACAACGAATATTTCGTTTTTTCGATTTTTAAGTTTCTCAATTTTTCAAGTTCTTAGATTTTCCAAATTTACAATTTTTTTATTTTTTTATAAAAAGTTGAAAAATGGAAAAATAAAAAATCGAAAACCTAAAAAATAGGAAAAAACTGAAAAATCCAAAAATTCCAAATCGAAGAACTGAAGAAACGAAAAATTGAAAAGAATCGAATGGAAAAATAAGTAAACCCAAAAATTATACGTCAAAAAGCTGTAACATTGAAAGATCGAAACATTGAAAAATTAAATATTGGGAAACTAAAAATGTGATAAAATTTGTTAAATTATAATTATTATTACATATTTAAAATGAAAATTAGAAAAATTGCAAATCTAAAATTGAAATATCTAAAATTGAAATATCTAAAATGTAAAAAATCCAAAAATTGAAAAAATTAAAAACGAAAAATTCAAAAATTATACAATCAGAACATTAAAAAAAAGAAAAATTGAAAAAATAAAAAAACGAAACAAAAAATTGCAAATCAAAAAATTGAAAATTTTAAAAACTGGTGAAATTACCAATCGAAAAATTAAAAAATCTATAAATTGAAACATGCACAAGTTGGAAAATCGAAAAACTGAAAAATTTTAAAATGAAAAACTCGAACTGACAAAACAAAAAAAAAAGAAAAATTGCAAATAAAAAAATCTGAAGAATTTGAAATTGAAAAACCTGAAAATTATAAAATCGGAACATCGAAAAATTGTTAAAAAAAAAAAACAAAAATTGAAACGAAAAACCACAAATCGAAAATTTGAAAAAATGAAAAATTAAAAATCGAAAAACTGAAAAGTTAAATAAATGGAAAAATTCTAAAATCGTAAAATGAGAAAAAACGAAAAATTTTAAAAATCATCATTGTATATTTAAAAGAAAAAAATTGAAGAAAGGAAAAATAAGAAAATCTAAAGTTAAAAAATTGAAAAATTGAAAAAATAAAGAAAATAAACGAAACGAAAGAAAAATTGAAGAATGGAAAAACTGAAAAATAAAAAATACAAAAATTGAAAATTCGAATAAATGAAAAAGTTTTAAAATCCAACAATTGAAAAATGGAAAAATTCTAAAATCGTAATATTAAAAAAACGAAAACTCTTGAAAATCATCATCTTTATTACAAAATTAAAATAAAATTAGAAAAATTGCAATTAAAAACTGAAGAATCCAGAAATTAAAAAATCTGAAGTTGTAAATTGAAAAATTGAAAAATTTCACATCGAAAAAATGAAAAATTGGAAAATCAGAACATTGAACACCCGAAAAAAAAAATAAAAAACTGAAACGAAAAATTGTAGAAACAAAAAATTGAAAAATCTATAAATTGAAACATCCAAAAGTTGTAAAATGGAAAACCTGAAAAATTTAAAGATGAAAAACTCGAAAAATTGACGAAATAAAAAAAAGCTGCAAATCGAAACATCTGAAAAAATTGAAATTGAAAAAACAAAAAATTATACAATCGAAAAATTGTAAAAGTAAAGAAAATAAAAAAACAGAAACGAAAAACCACAAACCGAAAATTTGAAAAAATGAAAAATTAAAAATCGAAAAACTGAAAAGTTGAATAAATGGAAAAGGTTTAAAATCCTGTAACTGAATAAATGGAAAAATTCTAAAATCGTAAAATGAGAAAAAACGAAAAATTTTAAAAATCATCATTGCATATTTAAATGAAAAACTACAAAAATTAAAGAAAGAAAAAATAAGAAAATCTAAAGTTAAAACATCGAAAAATTGAAAAAATAAAGAAAATAAAAAACGAAACGAAAGAAAAACTGAAAAATAAAAAATACAAAAATTGAAAATTTGAATAAATGAAAAAGTTTTAAAATCCAACAATTGAAAAATGGAAAAATTCTAAAATCGTAATATTAAAAAAACGAAAACTTGAAAATCATCACCATTATTACATAATTAAAATAAAATTAGAAAAATTGCAAATTAAAAACTGAAGAATCCAGAAATTAAAAAAACCTGAAGTTGTAAATTGAAAAATTTCACATTGAAAAACTGAAAAATTGGAAAACATTGAGAAACCTAAAAAAAATAAAAAACCGAAACGAAAAATTGTAGAAACAAAAAATTGAAAAATCTATAAATTGAAACATCCAAAAGTTGTAAAATCGAAAACCTGAAAAATTTAAAGATGAAAAACTAGAAAAATTGACGAAACAAAAAAAAAAGCTGTAAATCGAAAGATCTGAAAAAACTGAAATTGAAAAAACAAAAAATTATACAATCGAAAAATTATAAAATTAAAGAAAATAAAAAACCGAAACGAAAATCACAAACTCAAAATTTGAAGAAATCAAAAATTTGAGAACTGAAAAAATGAAAAATTCAAAATGGAAGAATTGAAAAATTCTAAACACGAAATTGAAAAAACGAGAAATTTTAAAAATCATCATTGTAAATTTAAAAGAACAAGAAAAATTGTAAATAAAAAATTACAATGAAACGAAAAATTAAAAAATCCAAAGTTCAAAAAATCGAAATATTGTCAAATAAATGAAAAAGTTTTAAAATTCAATAATTGAAAAATTATAAAGTCGTAGAATTGAAAAAACGAAAAATTTTAAAAATCATTATTATCGTTATTACATATTTAAAATGAAAATTAGAAAATTGCAAACCAAAAACTGAAGAATCGAAAAATTAAAAAAAAATCCAAAGTTGAAAAATCGGAAAATTGAAAACTTCTACACAATTTTAAAATCAGAACATTGAAAAACCGAAAATTGAAAAAATAAAGAAAATAAGAAACCGAAATGAAAAATTACAAACTGAAAAACTGAAAATTCGTGAAATCAAAAAGTTCATTGCAAAATCTAAGAAATGAAACATCCAAAAGTTGGAAAATCAAAAAACTGAAAAACTTAAAAATGAAAACCCAAAAAGTTACATCTCGTAAAGTTGAAAAAAAAAATTAAAAAATGTGGAAATGAAACTAAAACTGAAAAAATATACATATAAAATCGAAACATTGAAAAATCGAAAAATAAAAGCGTAAAATTTGAGAAACTCAAATAAAAAAACTGCAAAATCTAAAAATTGAAAAATTCAATAGTTGGAAAATCGAAAAAGTGGAAAATCGAAAAATTGCATATCAAAGAACTGAAGAAACGAAAAACTGGAACATTGAAAAACTAAAAAACAAGAAACTTAAAAATCGAAAAAATTGGAAAGAAAAAAGTGCATCGAATCCAAAAATTGGAAAACCAAAAAACTATGGAATCGTCAAAATTGCAAAATCGAAAAACCGTAACATTGAAAGATCAAAAAATTAAAAAATTAAATATCACAAAATTGAAAAATTAAAAGTTGAAAAATTGTAAAATCGAACAAAAGAAATAGGTTTAAAATCTGATAATTGAAAATGGAAAAAACCAAAATCGTAAAATGAAAAAAATAAAAAAATTTAAATATAATTTTAATCAGCATTACATATTTAAAATAAAAAACTAAAAGAAACGAAAAAAAACCAAAAACATCTAAAAGTTGAAAATTATAAAATTAGAACATTGAAAAACCGGAATGAAAAATTGCAAATCGAAAAATTGAGGACATGAAAAATTGAAAAATCTAAAAATTGAAAAATGCAAAAGTTGGAAAATCGAAAAAGTGGAAAATTCAAAATTTGCAAATCGAAGAACTAAAAAAACTGAAAACCGAACTATCGAAAAATTAAAAATTGAGAATCTGAAAATTCGAAAAATTATGGAATCGTCAAAATTGCAAAGTCGAAGAACTGTAACACTGAGAAATCGAAAAATTGAAAACTTTAATACATTCGAGAAATTGAAAAATTAAAATCGAAAAACTGAAAAAGTTTTTTTTTAAGTTACATATTAAAATGAAAACTAGAAGAAACGAAAAACTAAAAACATCTAAAAGTTGATTATAAAATCAGAACACTGAAAAACGGAAAAATTGAAACAATTAAGAAAATAAAAACCAAAATGAAAAATTTAAGTAATGAAAAATTGAAAATCTAAAATTGAAAAACTGAAAACACGAGAAATTCAAATCGAAAATTTACAAAATCTAAAAGTTGGAAAATGCAGAAGTTGGAAAATCGAAAAAATGGAAAATTCAAAATTTGTAAATCGAAGAACTAAAAAAACTAAAAACCGAACCATCGAAAAATTGAGAATCTAAAAAATCGGAAAGAATTGATGATTCGAAAAATTGGAAACAAAAAAATGCATCGAATCCAAAAATTGGAAAATCGAAAAATTATGGAATCGTCAAAATTGCAAAGTCGAAGAACTGTAACACTGAGAAATCCAAAAATTGAAAAATTAAATACATTCGAGAAATTGAAAAATTAAAATCGAAAAACTGAAAAAGTTTTTTTTTTAAGTTACATATTAAAATAAAAACTAGAAGAAACGAAAAACTAAAAACATCTAAAAGTTGTTTATAAAATCAGAACACTGAAAAACGGAAAAATTGAAATAATTAAGAAAATAAAAACCAAAATGAAAAATTTAAGTAATGAAAAATTGAAAATCTAAAAATTGAAAAATGCAGAAGTTGGAAAATCGAAAAAGTGGAATATACAAAATTTGCAAATTGAAGAACTAAAAAAACTAAAAACCGAACCATCGAAAAATTGAGAATCTAAAAAATCGAAAAGAATTGATGATTCAAAAAATTGGAAACAAAACAATGCATCGAATCCAAAAATTGGAAAATCGAAAAATTATGGAATCGTCAAAATTGCAAAGTCGAAGAACTGTAACACTGAGAAATCGAAAAATTGAAAACTTTAATACATTCGAGAAATTGAAAAATTAAAATCGAAAAACTGAAAAAGTTTTTTTTTTTAAGTTACATATTAAAATAAAAACTAAAAACATCTAAAAGTTGATTATAAAATCAGAACACTGAAAAACGGAAAAATTGAAACAATTAAGAAAATAAAAACCAAAATGAAAAATTTAAGTAATGAAAAATTTAAAAACTGAAAACACGAGAAATTCAAATCGAAAAAGTAGAAAATTCAAAATTTGCAAATCGAAGAACTGAAAAAACTAAAAACCGAATCATCGAAAAACTGAGAATCTAAAAAATCGAAAAGAATTGATGATTCGAAAAATTGGAAACAAAAAAATGCATCGAATCCAAAAATTGGAAAATCTAAAAATTATGGAATCGTCAAAATTGCAAAGTCGAAGAACTGTAACACTGAGAAATCGAAAAATTGAAAACTTTAATACATTCGAGAAATTGAAAAATTAAAATCGAAAAACTGAAAAAGTTTTTTTTTTTAAAGTTACATATTAAAATAAAAACTAGAACAAACGAAAAACTAAAAACATCTAAAAGTTGATTATAAAATCAGAACACTGAAAAACGGAAAAATTGAAACAATTAAGAAAATAAAAACCAAAATGAAAAATTTAAGTAATGAAAAATTGAAAATCTTAAATTGAAAAACTGAAAACACGAGAAATTCAAATCGAAAACTTACAAAATCTAAAAATTGGAAAATGCAGAAGTTGGAAAATCGAAAAAGTGGAAAATTCAAAATTTGCAAATCGAAAACTAAGAAAACTAAAAACCGAATCATCGAAAAATTGAGAATCTAAAAAATCGAAAAGAATTAATGATTCGAAAAATTGGAAACAAAAAATTGCAAAGTCGAAGAACTGTAACACTGAGAAATCGAAAAATTGAAAAATTAAATATCGAGGAACTGAAAAATTAAAAGTCGAAAAATTTAAAAACCGAATAAATGAAACATCTAGTAATTGAAAAATGGAAAAATTCTAAAAGCGTAAAATTGAAAGTGAAATTTATTTTAAATATATAATTAGTATTACATATTTACAAAAAAAAAGTAGGATAAACGAAAAACTAAAAAATCCAAAAGTTGAAATGGGAACACTGACAAAAAATTTAAGCATAACTTAAAAGTTCGAAAATCGAAAAACTGAAAAATGAGAAATTACAAAATAAATGAAAATAAAAAACCAAAACGAAAAATTGCAAAATTTAATAATAGAAAATTGAAAAACTGGAAAATTGTAAGGGAATTTCTGTCGAAATATCGTCCGACCTTGATTGAAGCGACCACTCGCTGAGATTTCGTTTGATTAGAGAATTCCATTAGTGAAAAAATGTTTTACAGAATTCGAAAACTCCAAGAAAAATTAGATTTTCCCACAAGAAATAATGGAGCAAATAATGGAAATATAACACGGAGATATTTTTCGCAACGTTATCGCGACCGAAATATCGCATAAATATTTATGAACCCGAAAAATCGAATTGTTTGCTTTTTATTGTTTGACTTCTGCTAGTCACCAGTACTTATAGGAATTAAGCAGTTTGTATTTGCAAAGTATCATCAATTGCGGCCTTGAAATTAAGTAATAAATAAACATTATCAAAGTTTGGCAATTATGGCGTGAATAAAACGCTGCAATAAACGCTACACAAATAAATAGTCTGACGAATTTGGTCCGTATTTACTGCTTTACTAAATCTGAACGAACCAGAAAGCTAGAACACAGCTTTATTCGTTTTAAATTTCTGCCAAAACGAGACTACGTATCACCGCATCGTTACCGATAATATCTTGAGATTCCACCAATTAATTAAGTGGTAAATTGCTTTAAAAATAACTGCGAAAAAAGCTCCCACAACAGGTGTTCACAAATTGACCGCAATTTCCGCGCGACTAATAATTTATCCCCCACATTGCCAGATCAATCCTCGGAAACAAAATCTATACATAAATTAAACTTCCGCTCATCCACAGGTTCGATACCCAACGAAAGCTCCGGCAATGAAAGCTTCTAACTGTGGGGTTTTATTTGACTCCTGGCAGCTGTATCCATAAATGATTTTCTCCCCTCGTTTATTCCGCCGCGTCTACGACACTCGCAATCTCGACAAGATTGAACTTCGTCTGAAGCCGAAGTTCCGTTAGCAACAAAATTCGCAAATTTGTTATAACCGATTTAAAACCCTTGCATGCAACAGGTGCGGAAATTCCCTTACTCATTGAGCGTGTTGAGCAGACATCGCAACACTTCCTCCCGGATTTTGGCGTTTTTGTGCGTGAAGCCCGGCGTGAGCTTCTCCAGGAGCGTCTGCGGCGAAAGCGCGTTCCTCTCGAGCAGTTTCAGGATCAGCAGCTGGGCTTTTTCCCTCACGGTGTCTTTGGCGTCGCCCAATCTGTCTATCACGTTTGGTAATACTGTCTGTAGGTATGGTCTGAAGTCGGTCCCGAGCCTGTCTATTAGATATGTCATGACCTCGATGCCATTGCTGGAAACCTGCAAAAAAAGTCACATTTGTGTGTATCGTTGAGAATTTTTTATTTTTGGTTGGAAATGAATGAACGGATTTTTTCTCAGGGTTCGGTGGGTTTTATTATGCTGTGAGAGAACTTCGATTGGGTTTTTTAAATTGTCCGATAACAATAGGTAAATATTAAACAGCTTTAATCAATAGGGTGAGTCACGTTCTACGAAAATATGACACGACATTCTTTTAATACTATTTGTGTATTAAGTCGTCAATTAAAAACGGTTTTTGTTATTACCACTAAAATTGTATAAATGTACAGTGGACGATTTTCACCAACATCTCGTAATCAAAAAATATTAAACAGGGAATTGCACAGGGTTCTGTCCTTGGACGGCTTTATTTCTGAGATAAACAAATGATCTGCTAAATGTAACTCGCAATAATATTATACTAATAAAATCGAAATTCTTGACTGGGAAAAATACTACGAACTAGTCGATGTTAAAAATTTGAAATAAGAAAAAAATCTTGATATAATTTCGTAAAATTTGAAAATTCGAGCCAAAATTTCAAAAAACCAAATCAAAATATAATTTGGGCAGAATTAAGTCAAAATTTCAAAAAATCAAGTCAAAAAAATTTAAATTAAATCAAAATTTTAAGATAACCGAAATTTTGAGTTATCTAGAAAATTTCGAACATTAGACAAAAAAGTCACCAAAAAAATGCGCAAAAAAAAATTAAAAAAAACGCAATTAAAAAGTTCATAAAAAATATGTACATAAGTGTCAAAAAAAGAGGTCGAAAAACAACAAAAAAAGTGACCAAAAAAATCGAAAAATTACAAAATCTAAAAGTTAAAAAATTTAAAAATCCAAAAATTGAAAATTTTCACACTGAAAAAAATTTATAAAATCAGAACATTGCAAATCGAAAAATTGAAAAAAAAAATATTGAAAAATTGACAACTCACGAAAATACCAATCGAAAAACTGCAAAATCCATGAATTGAAACATCCAGAATTTGGAAAATCGAAAAACTGAAAAAATTTAAAAATCGGAACATCGAAAGATTGTAAAAATAAAGAAAATAAAGACCGAAACGATAAACCACAAACCGAAATTTTGAAGAAATGAAAGATTGGAAAATCGAAAAAATTAAAAAATTAAAATAAACCGAAAAGTTTTAAAATCCAGTAATTGGAATAAATGGAAAAATTCTAAAATCGTAAAATTAAAAAGAAAAAATGTTATTATCGTTATTACATATTTAAAATGAAAATTAGAAAAATTGCAAATCAAAAACTGAAGAATCGAGAAATTAAAAAATCCAAAGTTGAAAAATCAGAAAATTGAAAACTTTCACACTGAAAAACCGAAAAATTGCAATTCGAAAAATTTAAGAAAAAAAAATTGAAAAAAGAAAAATTACAAACTCGTGAAATTGCCAACTGAAAGACAAAACAATAAAATCGAAATTGTTGACTACGAAAAATTCTACGAACTTGATCTTAAAATCATGAAATAAAAAAAAAGTCAAAAAATTTAAGTTAAATCAAAATTTTAAGAAAATCGAAATTTAGAGTTATCTAGAAAATTTCGAAAAATAATAAATCCAATGCAAAAACTGCAATAAAAAGTGAACAAAAAAAATGACCAAAAGAAAGGTACAACAAAAAAGAGATGGGAAAAAAACGAAAAAAGTCCACAAAAAATATGTACATAAGTGTCAAAACAGAGATCGAAAAACAACAAAAAAAAAAAACTGGTCAAAAAAAGCGAAGATAGTTAAAACGCGTCAACAAGCCGGAAAATGTGTCAAAAAAATGACAAAAAAAAACAAAAAAAACGATACCAAAAAAAAACAAAAATTAAAAAATCTAACAGTTCAAAAAAAATTTAAAAATCCAAAAACGAAAAAAACTGAAAATGTTCACATTGAAAAAAAAATTATAAAATTGGAAAATTAAAAAACGAAAAAATTAAGAAAATAAAACAATTAAACAAAAAAATTGAAAAATTGTAAACTCATGAAATTACCAATCGAAAATTTGCAAAATCCAATCAGAAAATCGAAAAACTGAAAAATTTAAAAATGAAGAAGTCAAAAAATTGACGAAACAAAAAAAAAAGGAAAATAGCAAATCGAAAAATCTGAAGAAATTGAAATTGAAAAAACAAAAAATTATAACATCCGAACATCGAAAAATTGTAAAAATTAAGAAAATAAAAACCCAAACGATAAACCACGAACCGAAAATTTGAAGAATTGATGGAACGGAGAATCGAAAATTTGAAAAATTAAAAATCGAAAAAGTGAATTGCATATTCTAAAGGAAAACTGGAAAAATTGTAAACCAAAAATTGAAGACACAAAAAATAAAAAAATCCAAAGTTAAAAATAAACAAAACAAAAATCGAAACGAAAAAAATTGAAGAATCGAAAAACTGATAAATAAAAAATTGAAGAATAAAAAACGAAAACTTTAAAAATCCAACGTTGAAAAATCAAAAAATTGAAAACTTTCACTAGGAACTAGTAGATGTTAAAATTTTGAAATGGAAAAAAAATCCGAGATAATTTCGTAAAATTTGAAAATTCAAGTCATAATTTCAAGAAACCAAGTAACAATTTAATCTGGGGTGAATTTTTCAAAAAATCAAGGCCAAAAAAAAGATGACAAAAAAAAACTTACTCAAAAAAAAAACGATAAATTAAAAAATGTAACAGTTGAAAAAAAATTGAAAAATCCGAAAATTGAAAATTTTCACAATGAAAAAAACAAAATGACAACATTAAAAAACCAAAAAAATTAAGAAATTAAAAAAATCAAACAAAAAATTGAAAAATTGTAAACTCATGAAATTACCGATCGAAAATTTGCAAAATCCATACATTGGAACATCCAGAAGTCAGAAAATCGAAAAACTGAAAAAGTTAAAACGAAACAAAAAAAAGGAAAATATCAAATCCAAAAATCTGAAGAAATTGAAAGATTGGAGAATCGAAACAATGAAAAATTAAAAATTGAAAAACTGAATTGCATATTCTAAAGGAAAACTGTAAAAATTGTAAATAAAAAATTGAGGAAGCAAAAAATAAAAAAAACTAAAGTTAAAAAATCGAAAAATTGAAAAAATAAACAAAATAAAAAACGAAACGAAAGAAAAATTGAAGAATCGAAAAACTGATACATGAAAAATTAAAGAATAAAAACATCGAAAAATTGAAAAGTGGAATAAATGAAACAGTTTTTAAAATCCAATCATTGAAAAATGAAAAAAATGTTACAATTTTGAAATGAACCAAGTAACAATTTAATCTGGGGCGAATTTTTCAAAAAATGAAGTCAAAAAAATTTTAGTTAAATTAAAATTTTAGGATAATCGAAATTTAGAGTTGGCTAGAAAATTTGGAACATAGAAATAATAAATTCAATGCAAAAAATGCAATGAAAAAGTGGACAAAAAAGTCACCAACAGAAAGGAACAAAAAAAGAGAAGGAAAAAAACTGACAAAAAGCGGCATTAAAAAGTCCACAAAAAAATTTGTACATAAGTGTCAAAGAAGAGGTCGAAAAACACAAAAAAAAGTGATCAAAAAAGCGAAAAATGCGTCAAAAAAAGACAAAAAAACTTACTCAAAAAAAAACGACACCAAAAAAAACGAAAAATTATAAAAATCTAACAGTTGAAAAAATTCAAAAATCCAAAAATTGAAAATTTTCACAATGAAAAAAAATTATAAAATCAGAACAAAAATGAAAAAATTAAAATAAAAAACCCAAACAAAATATGTATTGCAAATCGAAAAATTGAAGAAATAAAAAATAAAAACCGAAAGTTAAAAATTTTAAAAATCAATAATATAAAAATCGAAACGAAAGAAAAATTGAAAAATTGAAAAGTGGAATAAATGAAAAAATTTTTAAATCCAATCACTGAAAAATGACAACATTCCAAAATCATAAAACTGACAAAACGAAAAAATTTTAAAATCCAAAGTTGAAAAATCAAAAAATTGAAAATTTTCACATTGAAAAAAAAAACTTATAAAATCGAAACATTGAAAAACCGAAAAATTGCAATTCGAAAAATTGAAGAAACAAAAAATTGAAAACTTGTGGAATTACCAATTGATAAAATCGAAATTCTTGACTAGGAACTAGTTGATGTTAAAATTTATAAAGAAAAAAAATTCCAGAAAATTTCGTAAACTTTCAAAGTTCAAGTCATAATTTCAAAAAACCAGTCACAATATAATTTCCGCTGAATTAAATCAAAATTTCAAAAAATCAAGTCAAACAAATTTCGAACATTAAACAAAAATTTAGAAATAATAAATCCAATGGAAGAAAATGCAATAAAAAAGTAGACAAAAAAATCACCAATAGAAAGGTAGAAAAAAAAGAAGAAAAAAACGAAAAAAGGGACATTAAAAAGTCCACAAAAAAATGTGTACATAAGTGTCAAAAAAAGATGTTACTCAAAAAAAACGACACAAACTCGAAAGAAAACAACAAAAAATAGAAAAAAAAAGGCATAAATAACGAGACAAAAAAAGACAAATTCCAAAAAAATAGACGAAAAAAGATAAGACGGCAAAAAACAAGATAAAAAAATGTCAAAAAATCCAAAAAAAAAGGAACAAAAATCGATAAGAAAAAACCGACCAAAAAAGGTACAAAAAAAGAAAAGCGATAAAGGCAAGAAAATATTGCAAAAAAAGTCGGACAAACAAAAAACGGAAAAAAGGAAACAAAACCCGAAACAATGAAACGAGGGGAAAAACAATAAAAAACATGCCATAAAAATGAGAGCCAAAAAAAAGGGACAGTAAAAAAACGAGAGAAAAAAAGATGACAAAAAAACGAGAGAAAAAAGGTGACAAAAAATGCGATTAAAAAAAAGACTGAAAAAACACAAAAGAGGCAAAAAATGCGAAAAGAAAAAATCGACAAAAAATGAAAAAGGCGATAAAAAATGATAAAGGTGCAAAAAACGAAGAAATGTGTAAAAGAAGCCG